TTATGATGCGTATTCGGGCATATGCGTAGAGTAAAAATATCATACTTTACGCCGAAAAAACGAAACTGAAAGTTAAATGCGTTAACTTCCAAAAACCATACATAATCCAACGAAAATAAATAATTGGTAAATAACAGCTTTCTTGTATGCAAAGAAAAAAAAATTAAAAATGTTAAAAAAGAGATGTCGACACAAAATTACATAGCCCCTTCAATTCTGAAGATACTACAAACGAACTGTACCTTAAAATTTTCATATCCCAGAAGCAAAAGTTCTCATGACGAATATTGCTATCGCTAGCGATTGCAAAAACCAACTTGTTATAACTTTGAAGCGTGATTTTCTTAAATTTCCCGCGATACTCGACTCATTAAATTTAAGACAATCAATATATTATTACTAGGGGACTACACCCCCTGGCCGCTACGCGGCCCAACCCACAGAAGACGCTTCGCGTTCTTTTAGGCCCGCGTCGACGAAAGAACGAACCCCAAAAAATGAAAAGATTTTCATACCCGACTCTCCAATCTCCCTCTGGCCGAGAGCAATTGGACCAAAAAGAATCGAATGAAAAAATCGTCATTTACTTTAAGTTTCACGCCATGACTTACACGAAACGGAACGGAGCGTTTCGTTATTGCTTTTGGATAGTTTGTAGCAAAGGAGCATACCTCCCATTCACTTACCCTACTAACGGACCAAGATTCAACATTTCCCGCTTACTTCAATTTCCCGCTTACTTCAATTTCCCGCTTACTTCAATTTTCCGCTAAATTTGAGATTCCCGCCATTTTTCATTGGCGGGAATTTCAAATTTTGCCCCCCTTTCTAAGCTTTCTGGTCTCCTCTAATATAAAAAAACCTGGGTCCTATTTTCAAATTCTGATTACAGCGTGCTCATCTAAGGACTATCACCTGTCGATAACCGCAAAAATCGTGGAAATCGGCCCAGTAGAACGCTCAAATGAACTATGACAAAAAATAAACAAATTAAATTGTGTAAATGGGAGAATTCGCAACTTTACCACGTAATATATATAAAAAAAAAAAAAAAAAAAACCTGGGCCATATTTTCAAAATCTAAATAAAGCGGGCTCATTTAGAGACAATTGCCCGTCGATAGCCGCAAAAATCATGAAAATTGGCCCGGTAGAACGCTGGAACTAAGCGTTACCAGATCCGTAAATTTAGAAGGTCTCGGAGCTTACATATATGATAAAAAAACACTTAGGTACCTCTACGCAGTACGATTATTTCCAAAAAGTTACTTCCATCTTTACATTTGAAGAATAGCCGTTATTTCTATCGAGGATACCATAAATGGATACCATGAATGAGGGGGTAAATAGCGAATAATTTCTTCCCATGACCTCACGAAATATGTGAAACTTGATATTTCTACGTTCAAAACGGCGTAGGAGTTGGCAACATTGAAAGTCTTTCCCTCAGCTTAAATTTAATATCAGGAAAAGCGGCAAAATGTAGGCAATCTCATTTTGTACGTACTTTTCAGAAATGAGCTAAGGACATGCAAAAATCCCCTTCCAAGAATTCAAAATCAATTAATTTTGTCATAAACACTTACGAGCATCTTCATATTTTGATTTTAGCCATCCCAAACCTCTTGTTATTTTCTTTGATTCATCTTGCGCGGTTTTCCTCTTAGCCCGTGACGCTGGAAAATACAACTTGTAAGAAAAAAGGCTCAGCGGATTGTGCAGTGATAACATTGCGGTATCACACGAAGAATATAGGTTTGCTGCAAACTTTTGTCAAAGCGAAAAAGGGTTGCCGGCCAGGTTGACCTAGCGGTCGGCGCGTACCCGTCTGACTCTAGACCAATACTGCCATGCTAAGGAAAAACGCCGTATGCACCTTCAGGCGTTGACAAATTTCCATTTTAAAAACACGAATTTCCCGGTAAACTTATGAATATTATTCTTCCAACGTTTCAGATAATGTTGATTGCAATCTCACTTTAAGTTCCTAAAAATTACAAGGAAAGATATTCATAACTTTCCTAAAAAATGATCATTTTATCGAAGGAAATTTGGCAACTCTCGAATGTTCATACGACGTTCTTCCTTAGCACGGCAGAATACACTGAAAAAAAAATTAGTAAAATACGGTGACAAATCACCAAATTAGTAAAATCAACCCGGTGTTCTTAATGTATTTTGATGAGTTGTCACCTTTTTTTCACTATTTCATGTGTTGATTTTAGCAGTTTTTTTTTCAGTGTAGGTCTCGGATTCGAATCCCGGTGGTGGCGACAAATTTTCATGGAACTGACCGTTGGATCTAGGGAAACAAATTCTTCTTGACTGTAATCCCTGAAAATTTGAAAGCTGGAGCATTAATGTTCCAAAATAACGTCTACCACCAATAAAATAATCTCAATATAAAACTCATGTCCATGGATGGCTGTCCTAAGTTACTAAATAAACAGGAATAGAAGCCCCAAAAAAAAGAAAAAAAAGAAAAAAAAAGAAAAAAAGAAAAAAAAAGAAAAAAAAGGTGCTACCCATGGCGAAGATCTCTTAAATCGTGAAGAGGGCATCAAAAAAGTTTGAGTTCACCCAAATTTTGAGAATATTTACTTTCAAAGTTTGCACTGTTTTGAGCTTACCGCATCCAGAAGTTTATTACGACGAGGTATAATTTGATACAGATGAGACACCGCAGTTTCACTAACCCCACGTGAACTTCAGAACGGCTGCGGTCATGTTTCGCACTTTTTCATTTTAAAAAGAACTAAGTAATGACACGTCTATCAAACGTCTCCCTTTCCCTATATTTCACATGAAATATGATGAGTAGGCATATTTTTTAAGTGACTTTTTAGTTGAGGAACTTTGTCAAATGACGACTGCCATTTTTACCTTTGCCTGGAGTTGTGAAACCGTATTGACTCATGTGTTCCATATTTTATCTTTGACGTTATACATCCTTTTTGAAACGAGAATCTCAAAAATGCTAGAAAGTTTTACGCAGATTGCGAGGTTAGAAGTGAATTACAGACTTTTGTGATTTTTATGCCGCAGTTGCTTTAAACGCTATAACAGTTTTGAAATTAAGTTGAATTTGTTTTGAGGACGCATAATAGTCCGATCTGAATTCAATATTGAGTCAAAATAAGAAAACTTACTTTATGATACATTTACCTACTATGCCATTTATTTCTTTAACATTTCAGAGTGATCAGGCGGAAAGAAAAAGAACGGACCTCAATATGAAAATTACCGCTGTGACTGTTCCGAAATTACCACTTGCATACGGATAGAAGGACATAAATAAGTACGATGTTCATTTTGGCTGTAATTTGGTAGCAATCTTAAAAAAGAAAATCGTGTATTGATATCTGGCGTATTATAGAGTGATTGAACATGGAGAGATTTTTCATAATTTTCCTCCATATTTAGAAATCTTAAATACTTTGACGATTTTCGAATCGGTTTCGTCAGTAAGTATTTGTAAAGGTCAACCCGCAACTTTCATCGATGTACCTGCATTGTTTCCTCGTCAAAAAGTATAGTGTCTCAAGAGTTTCGTATAATTTGAGCTAACTAACGTCCAACCTTCACTCATACTGAAATTTGTTAATCGAGTTAATTTAAATTGAACTACATTTCGAAATTAGGAACTACAATTTCTGTCCAAGTTTAGAAACAACTTATGTATCATTAATTCCCTTATCCTGATAAGAGTTTTTACGGATGAGCCAGAAATTGTACTCCCTAATTGCAAAATATGAGGTCCAATTTATCTTTACCAATCCACTCTCACTGAAAGAATTTAATGTCGTGACTTACACTCAGCATTGGGTGAGAACGACTCTAATATCATTGGTGAGCTGGTTTCGGAATCAGAACCTGAGTTGGATGATCTGGTTCCCTTGGTAAATTTCTTCAAAGCTGCTACTTCATTTGCTAAATTTTTGAGCAAATTTCTCATCGCAAGTAGCGAGGCTTCCTGTAACAAAGAAAGTGAAGAATTTTAGAGATCACTTGGTAAGCCACTTCATGACACTTCATGATACTTCATGACACTTTATGACACTTGGGCGTTATCGCCAATACACACTAAGGCATATAATCCCTTTTGCCCTCTGCATTATTCCTCTCGAAATATTCTCAGAGGAGTAGAAGGAAATTTCAGGTAAAAGTGAGATTTTGGAGGGGTTTGCAAAATACCGCACGTTCGTACGACGCCAAGAAACTAACTTGCTGACCTTTTTTACAGCCCCCAGAATCCCCCCTTTTACTGATATTTCCATTTTTCCGGATATTAAGACTAATAATTTACCACATCAAATATGGATGCATACTAATTTTCAATTTTCATGAGATTAGGTGCATTATACCGTTGCCAAAATACAGGAAAAACAATTAATTTCTCAGACCCTGAAGGGGAGGGGGGCTGTAGCCCCCTTAATGAGCATTTATGGAAAAAATGGAGGAATAATTCTTATAATTACCCCTAAAACATGCTCCCACAGTCTGGTGGTTATTTCGCCGCCTCTTATACAGAGTGATGCAAGGTCAAACCACCTGGTGGTTTGACCACTGTATAAGAGGCGGCGAAATAACAAGACGAGTCATCTGCGCATCGCGTTTTATGCCAAGGTTTTTTCGAGTTTTTTTCACGTTTTTTCATTCGTTCACCCGCCGCCAGAAGCCAAGATAGAAAATTTAACCTAACGAACGTGGAAAACTCGGAAACCGTTGAACTCGATACCGAAATGAGACTTTTTTTTTTCAGCCCTTAACTTAGCACGCAATTGCCACTCATTTCTGGTCGTCATTTTCCCGTCAGTTGACGTCAGTTCGTCGAATCCGGATGTCAAACTCATGACGAATCCGATTAAACGTCATGGAAGCGCCTACTTTGCCGTTGCGGGAAAAAGATACCGCAGGAACTTACGGGAGTTGCCAAATTGCACCTGATAAAACATGCATTTTCTGGAGAGTGTTTAAACTTATTTCGTAAAATTTTCCCTAGGCTAGGTTAGTGCACATTTCAGTATCATCTACTGATTAAAAACGGTCATATCTTGTAGCTAAACAATCTTGCGGTAATACTGCCCAAACAATATTCAGCAACGATGCCCAGAGCTCATCAGTGGCCTGACTTGACTAGCTTGTGAGGTTAAAAATTGTAAAAAATAAATAAATAAAAATTCAAATAAAAACTAGAAGGAAAAATAAAAATTAAAAAAGGAAGCATACAATAATAATTTAAAATTATAGAAAAACCGAGAACGAACAGAAATGTTCGTAGGGAGCTCTCAACATTAAACATCCTCAACATTTGTGGTCGAAATTAAAAAGCGAGTTTTGACGGATTGACGATTTTTGCATAGAATGAATAGACTACGTCAAAAGATTTTTTTAATTATTCCATCTGGGAAGAGAGGTTTAGTGGGTACCAGTGGTGAGGCGTGAATGATCGATTATCGATATTATTCCATTTGAAACTATGGTAAAGAATCGATTATTAAGGTGTTCGTTGCAAACACCTTGTGTATCGATCCTTTCCCACACGTTTAAATGGCAGATCAATCGATATATCGCAAAGCATGCCACGCCACTGGCCCGTTACCGTTGGGCATCGTTGACGATGTCAAAACCCAGTTTTTACCATTATTAAGTAAATATGATGATGGTAATAAAAGACTTGCGCCGAATCCTGAATTTTCTTCATAAAAGTATTTTACGTCGATCGTATAAAATGGTTGGTTATTTGGACGTATTTCTATCAAACGGAACTAAGCGCCAATTTGAGTTCCTATTGAGGAATTTAGAATGCCGGATAGCGCGTTCTGTCAAACGGACCTAAGCTCCATGGAAAAGCATTGCGAGTATAGGACGGAATCAGCTGGACGCCCGATTTCGCCGCCAATCCAAGCCTTCCCCCCCCCCTCTACGTTCCTCACCCTATGGCGCTTCGGTCCGTTTGATAGAAATACGTCCATTTGATCAGTGCCTTCCTTAATTATTTTTTGCAATAAAAATTGGTTTTGCTAACAGGAAACTAGTGGCGAGGCGTGAATGATCGATAGTCGATATTTCTTCTCATTTGAAGCTATGGTAAAGAATCGATTATTACGGTGTTCGTCGCGAACAGCCAGATTATCGACCCTTTTCCATTGGTTTAAATCGTAGATTAATCGATTTATCGCAAAACACGCCACGCCATTGTAGGAAACTTACTGCGCCGCCATGCCCATCATAAATTCCGAAGAACGATGCGCCGCCGGTGTCCCGCGCGTTAGAAGAGATATCAAAGTTATCTTCCATAGAAAGTCGAGGTCCTATCGAAGTGTATGAAGCCACACTATCCCATTGTGTTGCTCCTGCGGGCCACTCATGTTCAGCTTCGTCGTAATTTTCAGTATCCGGTTTCCGAATTTCCTCAAATGAAATACGAGGGCGCCAAAATGTGGGATCTTGTTGATGACAAAAGAGAGAGGAAAGAGGGGAAATTATGAAACGATACAGCAGAAAATAACAAAGCTCGAATATACGAGCAAATAGGAGGGAGTAATTCAAAACATGGGTAAACAAGGCTGAAGCATTAAAAAATACTACAAGGCAGAACGTTTCGAGCTGTTACCAGCTCATTTTCAGCCGCAAAAAACACGAAAAAATAAATAAAAAATTGAGTGGCGACCTGATCCCAGCCGATACCACGTAACCACTCAAAAAATGGGTAAACAAGGCTAAAAATTTAAAAAAAAAACCCTGAGAGGTAGGGCGTTTCGAACTGTTGCAAGCTCATTTTAAGCTGTAGAAAACACGAAAAAATAAGCACAAAATTTAGTGGCGACCGCCTGACCCCAGTCGTTACCTCGTGACCACTGCTAGAAACGTCCTGCCTATTAGTGCGCTTTTCAATGTTGCATCCCTATTAGTGCGCTTTTCAATGTTGCATCCCTATTAGTGCGCTTTTCAATGTTGCATCCTTATTCGCCCATGTTTTGAGTCCCTCCTCATTTCAAATTATTAAATAGGGCATCAAAACAACACCCAAAAGCAGTATATTACCAGGAGAGATCAAACAGCAAATTTCCATCGAACAACCCTTAGATGAATAAACCGAGTCAATTTTATCAGGAGTTTGCTAAAAACACGTGGCTCGTGGGTTTTAGGGCCGGTGCATATGAGCTTCAGATGCATGTCCACAAATAAATCGTAAAAAAATAATTAGACATCAAATCGTAAAAAAACCGAAGAAATCGAATGTCCGGAAATTCTTTGAGAACTATCCTTCGAAATCCCCGGCCGGATCAAATTGACACGACAATCTCTTTTAGGGGAGTTTTGTTGCCGGTACATATGAGCTTTAGATTTAGATCTACAAATATTTCATGATAAAGAATTAGCCATCAAATTGAGAAAAAAGAAGAAAAAGTCGAGCATCAACACGGAAAAAAATTAAGTGTAATAAACATTTAAATTGTTAAAAAAAGGCCCGTCAAGTTTGCAATGCTGATTTTACAGTACAAAAATGCTAACACGACATTGACATTTGTTCGTTTTACAGTGGGTGTAGTTAAGTTAGCATTTCTGAAAATGTAAAGTCAGCATTTGAAACTTGTCGAACATGTCATTAACAATATAAATGCTAAATCAACATTTAATTTTTTCCGTGAACACAACCAAATATAGGAGAGACATAGTCAAGCCTCGTTAACATTCCTGCCGAATTTGAGCCACACCTCACAATGACAGCGTAGAGTGGAACATTGCGAGTTCACGCCTCGCGCCAAGGCGCCTTCAATTCTGCAGATGCAACACGGATATCCATCAAGCTCGAATAGTCGCATCTCTGCGCCGTCATCAACGAGCGGCCTTCATATTGTGTTCCTTCCGTTTGTCTTCTTCTTTTTTTTGGCGCATATACGTAGTTACCGCTTTTGCGATCGTTTTGACCCCCTACTCGATAAAATAACCGAGTCCCTTAAGTTCCTTACCGGAAAGTGACTGGCGCGAACGTCTTCGGTTTTACAAAGCGTGTAAAAAATTCACAAATCCGTCAGTAATTATGACTTAAACTTTTTTGTCATTCTGGGGCTTTCTAGTTTATGTGCAATGAATACCAAGACTCCACGTTACTTGGTTTTTTTTTTCTTTAAAAAAAAACCTATGACTGCTCCGCGCTAATTTAAAATATGCATATGTAAGCAAAACCAAACGAACTGATTTTTTCGATTTTATACGGAAAATTGATGGTTTTTCGGAATTGAAATTACTTATTATTGTTTCATGAAAAATAAATGCAACCAAAATGACTAAAGCATATTGACTTTTACATATTTGCAATCACGGAATTGATTAGTAAATTCAACGAGTGGGTACATTGACCTGGTATATCAAGTTGCTGCGATTTTTTTACGGCAAATCGGCAGATTTTCGGGATGTAGATTGCTTACGTTCAATTCATGAATAAATAAAGCATGGACACGGTTGAACTCCCTTACATGGAAAGACGTTTAAAATAACTAAATCAAGACATATTTAATGCAATTGCATTTATATCGAGTCAATTTAACGGGATTTATACTATCAGTGATCTGGGTATTTTAGCCCCAAAATACCTTTAAATCGACTTTATCTTTCAGGGTTTCGACAGAATTTTTCCTCTCTTCGCTTAAATTACTCCGTAGCACTTTTCTTCAAGAATCTGATAAGATTTTGTTTGAGGCAGATCAAAAAACTTAAACTCGTTCGAATGGCTTTCTACATTTACAATACACGGTCTCGTCAAGGTGCGTCGTTGACCTCGCAGTGTTGGATCGTGAATTCTCTTTTTGTGCTGCTTGCCTATTTTGAAATCTCTGTAAATGAAAACCAATGAGGTTGATATGTGCGAGTTAACGACGCGCCTCATCAACTCATTGTGTTGGAGTTCACTGCTTGTTTTTTTTTCATAGTAGTGCTTCAAGGGGTACGCGATCAACGCAGCATTAGGTATAGGAAAGAAGTAACCGGACACCTCAGTAATGGCATCGGAAAATTGCGAATTCATACCTCACGCTATCATGCCTTCCGTTTCTCTGATGAAATACAAGGTATAGACAAGGTAGACATCCTCCAACCACGAATAGTTGTATCTCTGCGATGTTACCATCGCGCGTTGAGGTGTCTATCTTATTTTTGAAATTTGAGAAAAGTTACGGCTAAGCTTGTCAAAACATGCTACGATGTGAACAAATGAACGATCATTTGAGAAACAAACAAACAAAAAGTTTAGAGGTCTCTCAAGCTCCCCAAAGGGTAAACGTCTGAAAATGGACCACTAGACAAGGTACGATCTTAAGCGATCTAATACATGTTTCTTCACCAAAATTTCACGTAGAACACGATTAGCGCAACGAATATTACTGAAACTAACTCCTAACAAAGATATGAACGTTTTTATTTTACATTGGTTACGAGGAATTTGAACTGCCCGCTCACAAGAAACTCAGAGCTCTACGAGAGTCAAATCGCGCACTACAACGGTTTCTTCAAGCTTCTCAATCGAGCAATGTTCATTTTCCACCATATGTTGTTCAAACCATAAGCAATTTGCTATAGCTGAGCCAAAGTGTCAAGATTGAGGTTGCCAGATTTTTATATCGCGGAGACTGTCATGATAACGTTTAGCGCGCGATGAGCACGCGTAACGCTCACGTAAAGCATTGAGTTTTCATGAGCGGGTGGTTTGAATTCACGCATCAAGAACCATTAAATATCTTCGTAAGGAATTGATGGCGGTAATTTTCTATGTGCGCATCGTGTTTTACGTGAAATTTTGGTTAAGAAACATGTATCAGAATGCTGAAATTTCGTACCTTGTCTAGTGGTCCATTGGTACTTTAGTGAAAGTTGCATCGTGTCATGGATTTTTTTTTACGACTCACCCGTTTTTTCTCAATCCGGGTTCTCATTTTTTTTCCACCCGTTTGATGTATCGAATACGATCTATGTATTTGTTTGGAACCTTCCTCACCTGCAACATAATCTGATAAGAGCGCTCGGTGCGGGGAGGATCTTCGATATCGTGACATCAACCCTGCCACTTGTACCGTGCACTGAAATCCAGTTTCATCCGACTGGCGTGCGACTCGTGTGCATCCTGCATTTCCGAAGGACGGACGGACTCGAGCACTGATCGGATGACGGCAGAAACGATTCAAAACACCTTTGCAGTACTCGTTCGCCATATCCAGGGCTTGTTGAGAATCACTGTCCCTTAGTTTACTGCATGGATCAATTTTGTCGGCAGCCTGTACAACAAATGCCGTATTACCGAAGAGAGAAGTCACGACCGAAGATGGAAAATTTCATGAAATTTATTCGCATGATTTTATGCGCGAGCGTGAGATTTCTTGGATTTTTTTTTTTAAAGAATTTTATTTAAGTATAACGTAACTACTACAAGTATTTCTTTGTATCTATCTACATTATTTAAAACTAAACACTGAAAAAAGAACTCCGGCCGTGGGAGCCGCAATTACGGGCTATCTATATACCGTCCGTTTCGGTCTCAAAGGCCGAAAATTCCGGCTGCTGGAGCCGTAGCTTAGCTTCGGCCTCAGAACCCGGAGCAATCGAAGCTACGCCTAGGCCTCCAGCAGCCGGAATTTTCGGCCTTTGAGCCCGGAACGGACGGTATGTCTTTATAGCCCGTAATTGCGGCTCCCACGGTCGGAGTTTTTTTTTCAGTGAAACTAAACGAATTGCACTGAAACATAGTGACGTTAGATAATACAATGATTATCTAAAAAAAAAAAAACAGGAATTGTAAAATTCTCAGCCCTCTTTTTTAAGAGGTATTAAAGTGAAATTTAACAACATTTATTGAAACTTTTGGATGCATTCAGGAGGCCACTAAACTCCTAAAACCAGTAAATCCAGATTTTGAAATTTCACTTTCCATCTCTGGTTAGTGGTCATGACCCAATCAGTTTGTTCAGACATTTTTTACGGGTCGTATTCTATACTGGTTCGATATATCGTTTAGCTCAAAACAACGGAGCACAACCTCAAACAAATATTTTGAGATTTAGGTTGGAACAGCTGAACAAGAGCAACTTCCTAACAATTTCTCTTTGCATTGCCGTGCGTAGTACTCATAAGAATCAAAAATCTATCACAAAACATCCGCTTCAACAGATTACTCGATCGACTTCTGAGGCTACGTTTACATGTTGGACCAATCGGCATCAATACAATCTCATCTGTTTGATGTATTGAATACGATCTAGAATTCTTGAAGCCTAAATTAATTTCTGCCGTTATTTAGTGTTTATATTTTGTAAACCAATATGGCACCTTGTAAAATTATACTGTTGCTAAATAAAAAAAAGTAACAGTATGGTAATGGGTCACTGAACGACATTTGCCAAGCGAATACATTTTTTCTGAAGGTAAATGACGCGCATGACACGATGCGCACATTGAAAACGCGAAAAAGTAGCTCAATAGCCAAGAGATATGCAGTTCAAATCGCTCATCTCATCCGCAAATTTAAAACGCCCCGATCTCGCGCCGAACCGAATGATGTCATTCGGCACTAATCAGGAGCGAGCACGGGTTTCTACGACTTCAGTCAAGTGTCTATCTACTCTCCGTATATGAGAACAATACTAAAGTCGTAATTATACCTTTAGAAATAAAGAATCGAATCTCCTTCCTGTTATCTGTAGTAAACAATTAAACAAGCACAATTCCACATTGGAATACATTTTACATTAACAAACATCAGTGGAAAATGAGAGGAGAGTACAATTTGACTACCGCAGTGCATCCCCACCGTTAGTTTCCCGCCATTCGGGTGCGTTTGAGATGTCTTGCAGTTTTTGGATTTTTCAAAAGCTGTTTTTCCCGCAATTTCCGCTCCATAATAATGCGGGAAAATCACCACATTATCTACTCACCCAGTGCTTTCAGATTTTTAAAATAAAATAAACAATGTTTAGTAACTCATTGTTGAGTTTTTTGTAACAGTCAAGACTTAATTGTTTTTGAAGATATTTCCAAACTTTTTCTCTTACCGCCATGATGACTGCAACTGCGTGCGAAGTCAGCAGAAGGAACAGAAGCTGAACAAAGTGATCCGAAAACATGACAAAAAGGGATTGGCTTGAAAATAAACCACCACGCACACTGAACCACGTGTTTTATGTTTTGAAAGAGCAGATTATTAACACCAATAACATAATAGCACTAAAAGTAATGATCGAGAGTATTAAATGAAAATGTACGTCCAGCCCAGTGGAAGTATTTCATATGAATAAGCCGTTGATGAATGATTGAAGGGATAATGATTCGCCACAGACATTTTTTTCACCCTTTATAGTTAATGTTGCCGAGAGCTTGCGTGTGTAGTATATGTTTCCGTCGAACAAAAAAGAAGAGAGGCACATCCCTCTCCTCTGAATACTCAGCTTTCAGACGTGAAGCAACTTCAAACGTGGAACATTTACGGCTGAAAATTGACAACTCGAGGAAAAAGTGACACTTCATCAGAGCACTTGCGTAAATGCTAAATCTAGAGGTGTAACGATACAATTCCGACGATGAATTACCGATGTCACGGAAGGAATATGCGCGTAAACTACAAAAAAGTTTATTATCAGATGATGCCCGATATGTTTCATGACGTTTCACGGGGGAAATATGTTTATTGCCGCAGATAGGAGTTAAGGTGATTCGATGGACGCCATGTTTTGTGTCAGAAAAACATGCGATATATAGCATCGATTGGTTCCATTTTTCTAGCTGCTCGTCACTCTCCTCGAATTTTGAGATCGCAATTATGTTGTTGGAGACTAAAAAATTCACTCACCAATTTTGATAAACAAATTCTATGTAATGAAGACGTGGTTTTTTTTAGAGAGAAAATATTGCATTCGAGTGCAGTTTCGATATCAGTATTGAATGCGGTATTTTTCCTCTAAAAAACCACCACTTTATTACTTTAAAATTGTTTGTCAAAGTTGGTAAGTGAATCCTTCAGTCTCCTGACAACAGAATTGCAATCTCAAAATTCGATAAAAATGACGTGCAGCTAACAAAAAAGAACCAATTGATGCGATACATTGCATGTCGTTTTGACACAAAATATAGCGTCCATCGAATCACTTTAAAATCAAGTAAACATAATCCAGGCTACGGTTAAGTCATTCACAAGCAAATCGAGCCGAGCATATCAGAAATGTCTACCACTCCGAAGGTGTGGATTCGATCGAAAGAAAAAAACTTGAATCGATCGAAGTAGACCGATCGACATTGATTCGATCGACAAATTATTGGAAAAAACCGGTGTCGATTCGATCGGCATGAATCCATCAAAAAATAAAGTGCGGGCCCCGTCATATATCGCCACCTTCCAGGCAAAGTATCACAAGCGCCATGCGACGTTTAAAAATTTCCGCCGCCATTTTATTTCTTTACTGAGAAATTGTTGGTTGAATCTGTTTGGAAATTTCACTAAATTTTATCGGCAGCACAAAGAAAATTCAGTGAAATTTTCGGACAGCTTCGTTGAACAATTTCTCTGTAAAAAAATATAATGGCGGAGGAAATTTTTAAACGTCGCATGGCGCTTGTGATACTTTGCCTGGAAGGTGACGATATGCGCAACGCATGAAGTATCATGCACACTTGTAAGGTGCCACCACGCGCTGCGTGCGCCGTGCTGTACGCGCAATGCATGAAGTATCCTGCGGTCTTGTAAGGCGCTACCATGTGTTCCGCGCCGTGCGAGCCAGCATCGCGCCGCGCCAGCCGCACTATGTTTGACGCCATTATTCAAACTTGCGGCGTGAGAGGTTTTGAACTTATGATTTTAAGTTTTTGTACAGTTTTTTAGATTTCAAATGATAAAACATTACATAAAACCCAACCAATTTTCTTCTCTTCCTTTACATATTTTTGTAAATAATTCTTAATAGAAGCATGCAAGTGAAGGCTCATACGAGTTGGCTCCCTCCAGCAATGCAATGGCGTGACCATTGGACTACATTTTTCTATTCGGACCCACAACTTTTTTCTTAGACACCCTCAATTTCACCTCATTAACAACATACGTAACGCAAAGAATAGCTGTCTATTCTTGAGTCCCTTTATACCCAGAGTTAAGACAACTCACTTTTGGTTGGGCTGAAAGTGGCCTAAAAAAAATCCAATTCTGATTGGTTCTCGCTCATGGAGGCCGAAACGAGTGCACCAACATGGCGGTACCTCGAATGTGAACAAGAATAATGAAAATATTACCTAATTGTGGTTTATCAAGAGTAAATTGTTATTTCCATCGGTCCAAAATGGAAATAGATTAAGAAATTATTCACAAACCAATCTCATTTTCTTTCTAATTGATCAATTTGTTGATGTTGTTGTTTTTGTGTGACAGACATCGCAGGATTCCTGATCCTTATCCCTCAATATCGTTTGTTTGGGTGCACTCGTTTCGGCCTCCATGGCCAGCCAAGGCCGGCTGCCATGTCAGCTGCTAATCGAGTTGTCTTAACTCTGGGTATACGGGACTCTAGTCTATTCTAATAACACACATGTATTCCACCAAAATCCCTCCCCCCATAGTGTACATGTATCCATATTGTACGTACCACAAACCTCTATAAAGCAAATGAAGAATGCTTCACCCCTTGGTAGGTATCGTTGACTTGTGGTTCGCCTTAAAGTAGCCGTGTTAGTATACAAACTCACCGGAAAGCGCCACAAGAGGATTAAAGGGGGGGGAGGGTTAGGGGTACAGGGCTCGCGCTCCGCGCCATACGCATCTAGAATAGATCTATTCTTGGAAACTTCCTTGATTTTTCCTCTCTATATATAGACAACTGTGTGAAAACGTCAAGGAAGATCACCTACTTGTTCTCTTAAAAAAAAAAAAATTAAAAAAAAAAAAAAAAATNGAGACAATTGCCCGTCGATTGCCGCAAAAATCATGAAAATCGGCCCGGTAGAATGCTGGAACTAAGCGTCACCAGTTTCGTAAAATTAGGAGGTCTCGGAGCTTATAGTATAGAAGGCAAATGTGTCAGATAAGTAAAAACTTATCTCTAAAAACATAGGCATATCGACGGTGAAAGTAGTAGACTACGTATCTCGTTTGCGGTGTTTGAAAATATCCGTTTCCGTTTTATTCTTGTGAAGGAGAGCAAACCTCCTTCATTCCTTGAACTTTCCACAGATTTTTCTTTGCATAGAGAAGCAAAATTACGGAAATTTTCAAAAATTGACGTTGCGTAGTTTTCCATATGAAAAATAAAGAATGACAGGAGGTCTGCAACGACGAGGTTTGGTAGTTTCACCGTCAACACGGCAGATAAAGGAGGGGTAGAGAAAGCTGCAGTATTTTGCTACATTATAAAATCCTAAGCCCTAAAAGTGTTAAGATCTGTTCCACGCTTTCTTAAAGTTACAGTTTGAGCAAGAGTATGGAAGTTTTACGGAGATGTGCCAATTGTGCCACGTTATGTACTGTAGCACGGCCTGATTTCATTTTTTCGAATTTTTCATTTTAAGCCAAGTTATTGCGGAAAATCTGCAAATCTATTTGTGCCTATTTCGTGACTAATATTGATCCTACGAACTTGAAATTCGGCATGATGAAGGAGCGAGCTGAATTGGTTATGGTGAAGCTTTTTGCTTATAAAATATTTATAATTGGTCGAGTTATTGCGAAAAATCTAAAAAATTCACCGTGTCTATGTGAAAGTGTACAGAGCATACCATTGAATTCTCTGCATAGACCTTTCTACTCATTGATGGAGCCTTACACGCACAGGTGCACCTCAAAGCCCAATTTTTGGAATTGTCAGCTAGACGAGAGTAATGGGCCTGTTGCATGCAGGAGATACAGCCGCGCGAATAGACTTTTTAAATGTTAAATGACACGAAAATTACGATAGTCACATTAAAAAAGTCTGAAATACACTCCTTACTGCGCAATTTGCGTTGTTAGGAACGCGCTTCTTCAAATTTCCCGCGTCTGGGGGCAGTTTTCTAATCACCGGAAACGACCAAACGGCGGGCTCGGTGATTTCCGGAAGATGCCGAGTCGTTGTTGTTGTTGTTATTTTTTCCTTCAGATTGTTTACAAACCCAACGTTATCTCTTATAGTGGTCCATATACGCTTTATGCGCTAACCAAATCGATCAACTTTTAAATATCCAACGCAATCCTCCTACATTTCATTTCACGATATCACGAGCTCCGATTTTTAGGTTATGTTGTCAGTTTTAGTTGACCGGAAATAGCCGCGAGTTGCCGTCAATTGTTTCCGTTAGAAAACTGCCCCCAGACGCGGTAAATTTGAAAAAGCGCGTTCCTAACAACGCAAATTGCTGAGTAAGGAGTGTATTTCAGACTTTTTTAATGTAACCATCGTAATTTTCGTGTCATTTAACCTCTGAAAAGTCTATTCGCACGGCTGTATCTCTTGCATGCAACAGGCCCATTGCCTTTTTTCCAAATTTGCGAAACTGGGGCAAATTATATGGTTGTCAGATCGCGCAGAATCAGGGGCTGACAAAGTTATACCTACGTATTGGGCACAGAGCTGCTTTTTGTTCACAGAAGATCACTAATTTAAAGAAAGAGACCAGACAAAAGGGCCTAGTCAAAAGGTTGAAGGGAAAGAATAAGGGAGAGAAGATGAATATAAATGATATATAATATTTACTAGTGAAATGGTTGAAAACGATTACAAAAGTAACACATTATTGTATGATTATTTCCTCAATACTTCAAACATTTAGTCACATAAATATATTGTAGATCCAGACAGGGATGACAAAACTTTTAAAACGTTAAACACGTTACTCCATTTCAATTCTGTTTTTTGGTGTAAAAAGCTTTATTGGCAAGGTATTCACTGTAAGGTATGTACTGGATTTTTTTATACCACGATTTGATTTGGTTCCCAAACCCCGCAAAATGGAGAACGCGATACACCCCGGATTTAAAGCTGGATGAATACGCTCTTTTGACAGCCATGCGAACATTTCTGTCAGAGTGACAGATACATTTGAACTTGTATACCTTGCCCACAGCCACTGGTTGTGGAGTATCTTCCGTGTCCCTTATTTTGAACATCCCGTACCATTCGTTGCAGCGTTCTTGACACTTTCCTTTATCCTTGTAGAACCATCCACCGTCATGCTCTGCAACCAAAGATGGAGGGTAATTTTAAATCGAATGGATCAGTTGCGCCGGTCCTAGAATCGTGTAGAATTTTTCTCGAATTTTGAGATCGCAATTCTGTTGTCAGCATACTGAAGAATACACTTACCAATTTTGAAAAACAAATTCAACGTAATAAAGGTGTGGTTTTTTTTTGAAGGAAAAATATCGCATTCGGGTGCAGTTTCGATATTAGTATCGAACGCTATATTTTTCCTCTAAAAAACCAAGCCTCCATTACGTTTAATTTGTTTGTCGAAATTGGTACCTGCGTGAATTTTTTAGTCTCCTGACAACAGAATTGCTACCTCAAAATTCGATAAAAATGACGAGTAGCCTAAAAAAATGGAGCCTTGAAGCGATACATCGCATGTCGTTCTGACACAGAATATGGCGTCCACCGGATCACCTTAAGTATAAGGCGATATCCCCCTCAATACTGTCATGCTAAGGAAAAACGCCGTATGAACCTTCAGGCGTTGCCAAATTTCCTTTCATAAAACGCGAATTTCCTGGTAAACTTATGACTATTTTTCCTCCAAATTTTCGGATAATTTTGCTCGCAATTCTATCGAAAAATCCTGACAATTTCAAGGGCAAATATTCATAACTTTCCTCAAAAATAAACATTTTATCGAAGTAAATTTGGAAATTCTCGAATGTTCATACGGCGTTCTTCCTTAGCACGGCAGAATACTCCACGTGGAGACTAGGCGTTTGGACGGACAAAACGTAATCCTGTGCCTAGCGCAACTAACCGATTTCAAAAGTATGCTCTAGCAATTTCAGACCAATGGAAACTTCACCCCCACATCATCTACACGGACACTCGCAATTGGACGTATTTCTGCCAAAAGGAACTGAAGACGGGTGAGAAATATGGGGTGTGCTCTAGAAAGCTGCATAAGATACAATGTAAAAAGGGATGGGACTCCTTTTGTGAAAATGGAAAAGTGGGAATTTGCATTAAATTAAACTAAGCGCCTAAACATGCGGCGCACATGAGCCGTGGGCAAGTGACAAGAGCGTTGTGGACAGGGCTCATGAGTTAAAGACTTCCGACGCGACGGCGAGATCCTCGTTCCTGTTAACGACGCTGACGTCACTGGCGCTTAATAATTCCCATTCATTCTTAAGACCCTCAACTAACAAGCAAACTCCTTCTTCCCCACCCTTCTTTGATTTCCTCTGGCAGAAGTATATCCTATTTTTCTTTTTATTTACTGTAAAATGGCAAAACCGTTTCGTACAAAATCTTTGTTTTTTAATTTATTTATGGAAGACATTTATGGATGCTATCTCAGTTGAGGGTCCTACGGCCAATTCTTAACAAGTTTGGGGATTTTATGATGTTTTATTTGGACCGTGTTAAACAGAAATGAACCGAGCAACATCAGCTATTGCCAAATTTAACTGGGCAATTTATTTTTTTACATGAAAACGGTTGTGCAGATTTTCATGCAAATTTCAGAGAATTTACTCCATAGTGCGAAGCGAATTCCTAAACATTTTCAAAAGAATCCGCACGAATATTTCCTCGTCAAAAATTAGGTTTCTCAGTTAAATTTGGCAATAGCTGGTGTGGCTTGGTTCCTTTCTGTTAAACGCGGTCCATTTAATGATTATAAACACCCTGGATCCACGGACTGAAGGCTGAGTTGAATCTGAGAATCTGAGGCAGGTGGAGGAAACCCGGTTGAAAGACAGGAGAAGGCTGCCTATGGGCAACTATAGGGACAGCTATTGGCTGATTAAAGGGGCGTAATGTGATATTTTTTGGTAGGGCACCCCTGACGTGGAGCGGGGCTCAGAAAATTTTGGAAAAGCAGCACAAGTTTATTACGCTATTTTCAGGTTTAATCGTACAGAGTAAAACTTCCGTGCTAAGGAAAAACGCCGTATGAACCTTCGGGCGTGCCAATTCTCCTTTGATAAAGCACAAATTTCCTGGTAAAACTTGTGAACGTTTTTCTTCAAATTTTTCAGATAATTTTGTTCGCAATTTCACCCGAAGCTCCTGAAAATTTGAGAGAAAAATAATCAAAACTTTCCGTCAAAATAAACATTTTATCGAAGGAAATTTGGCCAATCTTGAATGTTCATACGGCGTTCTTCCCTAGTATGGCAGTATAAGAATAAGGGGTTTAAGAGGTCGAAAATGATAGGAAACAATGAAAAACAATTTCATCATGACTAATAAAAATAAAAGATGAAAAAAAATTTAAAGAAAATATTTGGCGCACTTTTAATAAAACCGCGGAAATCAAACTTCGATTCTGCATCCTTCCATATTGTGCACATCACAACAAACACTATGAAAACTCGATGTACTTTAAACCGCATTATTTGAACGATTCACGAAAAATGCTTGAGATTCCAAACCAAAAGAATCTCGTGGCAAGATTGATTTGAGATCCGCACACCAGCTGCTTAGCCTTGTGGTCTCAAAATGATTCTGGCACTATTCTCCATCCGAGAGAGGGTTTCAAAAAATTGATTCTTTTACACCTGCACGGAACTCTACGAAAAAACACTGTGCAAAATATTAAACACACGAGAGGAGAGGCGTGAATGATCGATTTTCGATATTTCCCCCTTTTGAAGCTATGGTAAAAGAATCGATTCCGAACATCCTGTTTATCGATTCTTTTCTATACTGCCATGCTAAGGAAGAACACCGTATGAGCATTCGAATGTTGCCAAATTTCCTATCAAAAATTATTTATTTTTGAAGACAATTCTGAATATTTTCCCTCGCAATTTTAGACTTATTAGATCAAATTACGATACGAAATCCTCCGATAAATCGGAGGGAAAATGTTCACAAATTTTCCTGAAAATCCGTGGTTTGTCGAAGGAAATTTGGCAACTCCTGAGGGTTTATGCGACGTTTGTCCTTAGCACGGCAGCATAGGTTTAAATGGCAGATCAATCAATATATCGCAAAAGCTCCACTCGAAGCGAGACATTTGTTTCAAATTTCGTCGTCGAACGCACGAAGGAACGTAACCCTTTTCCAGGGTCGCCAAATTGACTTAAGCAACTGATTTATCGAAAAACGTTATACCCGTGGAATTTTCATCAAAAATTGTTCTGATTTTTTAAAGAACTCTGAGGAAAAACCCGCGACATTGTCAGTTAGGAATACCCGAGATTCTCCTAGTTATACTAAGCAATTTTCGAGGGGAAATTCGGCAACATGGAACTAAAGTTACGTTCTTTCGTGAGAGAAACGACGATTTTGGGATCATGGAAAATAATACGTGCCAAAAGAGAAGCAAATGCAGATACAATCATCGGAGCGTGTTTGTTCTTTTTTCCCAGCAAAGCACAGATGCACATGCAATTGTTGCGTCACGGATTGACGGATTTTTAACGCGGATCATTTCATTTGCTATCTCGTCTTTCCGAATGAAATTTCTCCGTTTTTGTGGGTCTGTGGTGTTTTCGCTCTGTAATTTTCAACATCCACGCATGCAAATAACCAGACGTAAAAAGTTGTTTGTCAGCGGTGACGAGGCGTGGCTCATTGGTTCCCGATATTTCTTCGTTTCACTTACGAAAAAACGTAACTCCATTTCAATGTTGCCAAATTTGTCCGCGCAAATGGTTTCAGGACATTTTGTCGACGGTTTTTTGTCCGCGCGCCTGTTTTGCCCAGTGGTTTAAGTCCTTGTGTAAAATTGGCATCAAAGACTTGGTCCAAGCGTCATGTTTTATAGTCCAAGTGTAATAGTGGCAATATTGAAACGAGCAAATTGAGAGAGAAGGAGATGTTGCTATGATAACTCATTTTGTAAATAAAATGTTACTTTCTCCTTTTGATTCATCATTTCAAATTGCTATCGGTGAATATTTGGTTTTATTTTTATCCTTGAAAGCTTCGAAGCGACAGCATCGGTATTAATCTCAATGAGCCGCGGTTGTGTTGAAAGGAACTACATATATACGAAAATGAATCATAGAAAAAAAGGAGCACGCAATCTTTGGTTTTAATCCGTTTGTACATAGATCTATTAGAGTCAAATACGTCCTATTTTGAGCGTTTGGTTGCGCGTACACAACGCTGCAGCACAGTAAAAGCACAAAATATAAAATAATAATTTAAAGTGCTTTGGAAATCATTAAATTTGACACGGAATCATCTGAATATTTACAAAACATACAGTATGTTTTCCTTCAATACATATTTCCCCCCCCCCCATCGATTTAGATGAGGATAATTCATGCAGAGTGTGCAAACATTGCAAAATCATGAGTTGAAAAACGCTGACTCCGGAGTTTAAATATTAGATCCGAACACTGGTTGGAGCGTTGTGCTGCCAGCGCGTGTCGCGCACTGGCGCCTACAAACCTAACAGGGATACTTCACGCAGTGCGCAATGCGTGAAGTATCCCTGTTAGGTTTGAAGGCGCTACTGCGCGTGTCGCGCTGGTCGCACTCGCCCGCCCGCCGCCGCGGGGCGGCGCACCACGGCGCTTCAAGCAACTATTTCGCAACAGAGATGTTGTACAGCATCATACGAAATTAAACGCGCTCCAACGTATCAAGAATGACAGGTATCCATTGAGAGTACGGAGCTTTCCTCGCAAAATAAATGAAGATACTACGGCACAAAAAGAGAGCGGTAGTCACAAAACTCACTAAGTTCTCGCGTCCGTATTTAATAATGCTTGGCATAATTTTTGAATTTCATCAAAGAAAAAATGACTCAATTTAGGCAGAAACATTCTTGAGTATGCCGCAAAGAAGATTTTATTTTAATCAAGAATAAAATTGCGGAATGCGAGCGGGTTTCTGCTCGACGTAAGTGACTTTTCTTTTTGTGTAAGGATATGTTCTTCTTTATACGAGCGTTATTTTTTTTTATTGTTTCACAAGGAAACCTTCAAGGCGATAATTAAATAAATCTCTATAAATTTTGAAGCACCGACTTTTTAAGAAGTAGAGCGAAGTAGTGGTGCGTGGTCTGAGCAGCATCAAATCGAGCTTTGCTAATTTCCTTTTCCTTTTAATTTTTTTAAATTTTCGGTTTCTCTCTCTTAATTTCGATTTCTTTCCGTATTTTCTTTATGGCACCCAAACCCAGGCTTCTCACTGCAGTTCGTCCGGCACCGTTCCGGTACCGAAGTAGCGACGGCGCGGCGGATCTTTTTCCAAAGTTTCCTTGTTGAGGCCCCGAAGACCTGACTCTGCTTTGCGCCGAGACGAATACTTTTGGCCATGTGCACTAGGTGGACTTTGTTTCCACACGTGGACCAATTGGCTTTGGGTCTTAATAGGCAAGTGGAGGAAACTCTCCCACCGAAAAAACGCGTAGACGTAAACAACTGGAAAAATAGGTGCGCGGGAAAAAAATCGTTGACGATGTGTCCTATAACCGCGCAAATCGAACTTTGACCAGGAGAATTTTGATAATTTGTCATGAAAATTTCACCCGTATTTTCTGTGATCCCGTGCAAAAATCAGACACATTTTTTACACAAATTTGGCACGTACTTTCTTGTAAAAAATTGCATTGTTTGAGTCAATTTTGCAACCTTGGAATGAAGTTACGTCCTTCCGTCCGGGAAACCTCGATTTAGTCATTTCAGCATATCGATGGTGAAACTGCAGAAATGCGTATATTGATGTTGCAAACATCCTGCCATACTTTGTTTGCTACACATTAAAACTACTGATCATCTCTCTTGAAAACTTAAGGGATTTTCCTCCCTGTGTTGAATATTCTGTCAAAATTTCAAGCCATGATATTGGATTGGTCTCCTTTTAATTCAAATAAAATATGAGCGGATATTTTTAAGCACCGCAACCGAGATACGCATTTTTGCAGTCTCGGTAAAAAAAATCGATAAATCGAAAATTCGAATCAATGGAGGAATATTCGAAGTTGGGTTTGAACCCAACATGCAACTATTTGAACTCAGCGGTGGGCCGGGTTGCATACCCTCGTGATTGAAGGCGAAATGTGAGATCTGCCTAGAGCTTCCGCGTTAGGGCACATGTGCAATTAGTGTTTTCCTCCAGCGTGACGTCTCACAGTGCAGCCCTTTTTGGACAAAAATAAAAAATTCACAACTCGACATCTGAATATTTTTTTCGGAATTTTTGATCTTAAAGATATATTTCTGGCTTACAATGATGGTTCATTTTCAAATTTTCCGCTCAAAACTACCTCAAACGTGGGTAGAAAATGGGCAGGAAATGGGTCGGGAATCACTGGTCCATAAGAAATACACGGGAAAAAGACGCCAACTTCAAATGGAGATTTCTCGCTTGAAACGCAAGAAGGTCTGGGTGGTTGACACTTTCTTAATCCTCAGATATCCAACTTCAATTCTTTGAAAAGATCTTGCAAATTTTTCCGACTATCAGAGATATTTGAAGCTAAAGTTTGGGTGTTTCACGTTGCTTTTACATTGTTAACATAAGGTAATTCGAGGTTGCCAACTTCGAATGAACTTTTCTCGTAAAATGTGCAAAAACAACCTGAGATATAACATTTTCTTATTCCTCGAGTGTTTTATTTTGATAGTGCCAAAGGGTTTTTCTATGTCGGTGCTATTATCTTCATTAATAAAAGTTATGAGTCTTTTGCCGATTTTTGTCCGCATCGTACAATAAGAGTGCCGCACTGTGAGTCTGTTTGGTCAACTACCTATGTGGACTGGACATTCTTGTTGCACTTATTTATAAAGCTATTCCAACAAATTGAGATGCTTACTCTGCCATGACAGCGAAGAGAGCAGGTAGTGCATTTTTGTGTGAGCCATGCAGTGGCGTCTTTGCAATATATCGATTGTTATACCCTTTAAACTTATGGAAAAGGATCGATAAACAGGGTGTTCACAGCGAACACCTTAATGATCGATTCTTTACCATAGGTTAAAATGGCATAGCAATCGATACATCGCAATTCACGCCACGCCACTGGAGCCATGATTAGCACATGGTTTCATGTTTCTTGAGACTCATCCCAGTCTGCACTTACTGCTCTCTTCGCTATTACGGCAGTATATTCGATACACAAACTCGGAATTAGGAAAATGAACTCTGCGTAAAACAATGCAAGAATATATACGAATATGCAGCTATTTTAAATCGGCGGTGAGCCACTTTCCATATGCTTGAAGAAAACACTGATCGCAACTCTGCCGTGTTAAGCAAGAACGCCGTATATTCATCAAGATTTTCCTGCGTTTTTTTTAACTTAACACTTTATAAAATGAAAAATGTTTTACCCATGCACCTCAAATGTTTAGGTTGAGCTCTTGACAGTACTTGCGAAAGAGTTCTGTAAAAACATTGTCGCGAGGTACACAGGTTTTCTTCTATGATACATTGTTTAAAAAAAATTTAAAATGGCGTTTACGACGTTTTTGCGTTGCACGGCAGAACTGTATGTATAGATACTCTATCCGGAGAGCCGTGCGTTGAGAGCGCGCATGGACTGTGGACAGATCTTAAAACGCCCGCAAAATTTAGTGTATGCAACCCGGCCCATCGCGAAGTTAAAATAGTTAAATGTTGGGTTTGAACCCAACTTTGTATATTATTTCACTATTCACCGTGTTGTTTTGAGTTGGAAGAGCGTTCTGTTATATCGACGATGTTAAAATAAATGCTCAGATTTTATTGAAATGCCAACTATTTTTCTTAGTTTATTCATCTGAACCGCAAACCAATTATTGGCGTGGTCTGACATCGCTTATACAATTTTAGCCTTAGGATTTTAATACTTGGTAGCAGTAGAATTCTTGGGCCATTTTAGAAGCAATAAATGATGTGCCGTTTGTATATACCTGTGAGGATAAAGCATATGTGCTTCAATAAATGAGCCAGAAGTTTTACTTCTTCTTCTTATTTTACTGCGAGTGACTAGAGCAAAGGCCTGACTGTCAGGTCATCTGACAACGAGCATATTAAATTACATAAATCATTAGAACAAAATAGTCGGTAGACATAAAGGACTCGTCAAATATATAAAAAAAGCAGCGAAATATAAGTTTCAGTTCCTTGGATAAAAATAAAGGCAATGCTCAATACATTGAATTAATGACGATCGATAAGTAAAGGAAATTTTTCGTATACTTTTTATCACCAATGGTGTAGGTATTTCAAGCTCGTGCTAAGAGTATCCATTTTGCCTTTCATTTAGCCAAATGTATACTATACAAGTTTTTTCTTTCTATGATTTCTCGATGACGAACTTTTTTCCAGAGAGCTCCCCTTTTTTCACCAAACCGAGTTTAGATTATTTCTGCAGAAAAGTAGTTTGTCATTCACGACCAAGGATTCTGTCGTTCAAATTAATAATCGATTAGTTCATTTATTTGGCTCATTGAGCTGAGATTTTTATCATGTGAAGAAATAGACATCCCATAAAAATAGTCGCTTTTAAACAGTTTTATCTTTCAAATATTTATTCTTATCAACAAGTTTTTTGACAAAAAATGAGACTAGTTTCACAATGAGGTAAAGGCCTATAATAAAAACAGCTGAATATACAGTGATGACGTCTATTGAGAATAATTCATACCAAGACATATGAACTGTCAATGGTTTTAAGTGGTGAGCTCCTTTATGCCTTATGACGTAATCAATCCAATGAATAGCTGTATCAAGTGACGATTTTGGTTTATCAGTAAAAACCTTTGAAGCTCTTTCTATGTTTTTCTTGAATCTGAAAAATAATATCACATACAGTTAATATACGGATACCTGCATTATGTTATCTTTTCCGTTTGATGTTACTGCTCGAATACAAATTTTGATAAGGGGTTATAGCAATATTTCTTCACAGGGTGTGAATAAAGTAGTACTCAACAAGTTATTTTCTTTCCATGACGATAATTATCTTAAAATCAACTCTTTGGCAAGATATATTTATATCCAAAAGTAACATTAGTTGAATGATAAAACTACAAATGACGTCATTTGTATGAACTAACTTTCATTTGATCTGTGTCAATAATTGGAGAGGTCGAGCTGTCATTTTGACTTCCGCTTAAAAATGGAAACATTTTTTGAAAATCGAATGATCTTTTCTCCCTGATCTTAGACGCCGCTGTTAGCCTAACCGGAGCTAAAGCGTTCTATACCGCTACAAGACTCTAAGGGTGGCAATATTGCGCTGAGGAGTGTCGAAAAAGGATCACGTTCTAATATTCACTTGGGTAATATCTTCCTACAATCATACTTGTTTGTTAGTTAGTTCCGGAAATTACCTGATGTACCTAATCGGAAATCGACGATGCATAAAACTACCAGACCATGTATCTCGATTTACGACGTTACAGACTTCCTGTCATACTTCATTTTTAAATGAAAAACTCCTCAACGTCGATTCTTGAAATCTTACAAGATTTTTCTTCCCTAAGCGAGAGAAAATCTGTGAAAACTATAAGGAATGATATTGTTTTGTTCTGCTTCAACAAAATGAAATGGAAACGGAGATTTTCAAGCACCGCAAACGAGATACGTCTGATAGTTTCGCCGTCGAAATGCTGAATACTTCCGAAATATTCACTCGCAGTTCAAGGGGTCAAATAAATAAATAAATAAGTAATCAAACAAACATGGCACTGAAAAAAAATTCTCGGCGTTTTTACCAAGGTCCGTTGGTACCTTTACCATTCCACTTTTTTTTACCAATTATTAGTAATTTTACCAAGACAGACTGGTAAACTTACCTAAAAACCGGTATTTTTACTGTTTTTTTTCGGGTAAGAATACCACTTTTATTGGTAATCAATTCCCGGTAACTTTGCCATTTTATCTCGGTAATTCTACCACAGTCGATAAAAAATATTGGCGTTTTTACCAAGGTCCAGTAAAATTACCGAGAAAGTTCAATGATTTTACAGAGATTTCTCGGTAAAATTACCAACTCCATAAATGGTAATTTTACCAAGAAAAACTGGGATCAAATAGAACCCTGAATTCTTGGTAATTTTACCATTTTCTTCGTGAACACACCGATATTTTTTTTCCAGTGGGATACGAAAACTTACCGGTGATTTGTCAAAACGGTGCTGACGGCCCATCGCAACGATTTTTGAGTCAAATTTTTGTAAGCCAGTCTTAGTCCGTACCCAAAGTGTTCTGCATTCGCCGTATTAATAATTTGGTCAGAGAAGAAGGGCATTCCTATCACTGGCACAGCATAACGGATTGCTTCCAACATGCTCGAAAGTCCTCCATGAGTCAGAAATAACACGCAATTCGGATGCGCTAATCAAAGAAAGGAATTCAATTAAAATAATCACTGGTTCGAAAATTAGTAAATATCCATGATCGACCCCCTAACAGTAGACCAAAAACATGTTTCAAAAACGCCGAATGTGCTGGTTACACGCTCAAATTTCCATCAATTTCCGATCAAATGGTGACTGGTGCGCACCATTTACCATCAAATCTCTGCGGCCTGCAAAAATTTTATGGTAGATGATGGACCTGTGGGGCTCATCCTTCATCTGATTTCCACACAACCGTGCTTATTTCATTCTTATTTCAATCAACACGCTGTTTTAATTAATTTTACTCATCAATCTAGATAACTCTCGACCGCCATCTTGGTCATCATTTTGATCGGATTTTGACGGGAATTTGAGCGTGTAACCAGGCCATTATATTGGTCAGTATAAAGTAATTAATAAAACGACCAGAGGAAATTTAGATAAAAGCTCTAAAAACCCTCCTAAATATTATAAACATCTCTGATTAAAAACTAAAGACAATAAACGTCTGACTAAAGATAATTAAGTGTTTTTACAATACCTTCCTTTTAACATCAATTTTAAAATATGAAGAACAAAAATGATTATTGTTATAAATACATCGAAAACGATTGAGAAAGTTAAACATGTTAACATGGATAACTCACTTGCACGTTTTAGTATTCTGAGTTACCAATGAGCAATGGCAAGTGAGTAACTCATTTTAACATTTTTAACTTTCTCAATTATTTCTTGTGCGGTAAAAGCTCCCCACAAAAGTACATCGAAAACGATATTATACAACTTTTTCAACACGCTTAAAATACGAGGGGCGTTCAATAAGTAAGTATCCCCCCTCTCTAAAATCCATAAGAATGGACCAATTTTAAAAAAAACTTGGGCTCAAAATCTTCCTTAGGATATTTTGAGTTCAACGAAACAAACCGCAACAAAATCGGACCATGTGCGGCCGAACGCGAGCCGTTTGAACGCGCCGAGGTGCTCGACGCTCCCGCCGAATCCGCGGGGATTTGAAGTCCGCGACAGGAGAAGAGCTTCTCTGCCAAAGCCTCAGTCGTTCATCACTGACGAAAAATCAAAGAAATTTTTGTAGAATTCGGGGCTTACCTCACTTCTCCACATAACCAGCTCGATCCAAGCAAGTCTGATACTAAGACTAAGACTAAGAGAACAGCTTTTGGATGCCTCGTGCGTGGAAGTCTTTCAGCTGACCGCGGATGAAAGAGTGGACGGCTTGTTTGACCTCTTCCACTGATTCAAAATTAACTCCTCCGAGTTCAGATTTCAGATACGATAATAAATAGCAAACCAGACCACCATTTATTCCCGTTCCTAAAATCTGAACTTGGAGGAGTTAATTTTGAATCAGTGGAAGAGGTCAAACAAGCCGTCCACTCTTTCATCCGCGGTCAGCTGAAAGACTTCCACGCACGAGGCATCCAAAAGCTGTTCTCTTAGTCTTAGTCTCAGTATCAGACTTGCTTGGATCGAGCTGGTTATGTGGAGAAGTGAGGTAAGCCCCGAATTCTACAAAAATTTCTTTGATTTTTCGTCAGTGATGAACGATTAAGGCTTTGGCAGAGAAGCTCTTCTCCTGAAGCGGACTTCAAATCCTCGCGGATTTGGCGGGAGCGTCGAGCACCTCGGCGCGTTCAAACGGCTCGCGTTCGGCCGCACATGGTCCGATTTTGTTGCGGTTTGTTTCGTTGAACTCAAAATATCCTAAGGAAGATTTTGAGCCCAAGTTTTTTTAAAATTGGTCCATTTTAATGGATTTTAGAGAGGGGGGATACTTACTTATTGAACGCCCCTCGTAATTACAAAAAGACTTAAGAACTTTCTATATGTTTAAATTACTCGACTCGTTTAACAATGCTTTTAAAAAAAATATTTCTTAGCTGCAAATTTCAGTTTTTTTTTTTTTTTTTTTTTTTTTTTTTTTTTTTTTCAGTGAATTAATTATCCGAACAGGAGGAGTTAAACTTACCCAAAACACTTGACTGGTCAAACCAATCTCTTAAATGAACATTTTTTGGCATATCCAAATCTGAAGTATTAAAATCTGATTTCCAAAGTACTGTCTGGTCCAATTCGTTGAAAACAGTTAAGAATGTACTCACATCCTCTCTCTTGAAAAAGCTAGCTTTCAGTATTGACCCAAAGCTGAAATAAATTACTCCATTCTTTGCTCGGTCCATAATATTTTGTAATTCCTGCAAGGTAGAAATATCAATGAAAGCAACCGAACGAGTAGTTTCCTCAAGTATAATTTTTTTGAAGATCTCAAGCTTGAAATAGATTGGAATTGCGTCCGAGGATTAAAGAGTCATAAATGTTGCAGATAATGTTATGGCGTTACTGCAACCGCTGATAATGTATATCGTCGTTGCTTAGTCAACGTAAAACTTTGATCGTTTCAATTAAGACGAATAAAATTTTTGGCTGCCTTGAGACATCTAAAATCTTCATTGTTTTGGCCTTATGTAACTAGAAATCATAGTGTTTGTAAATGCGGTTTTTTTTTAAAAAAAAAAGAAAAATTGAAAAATTATGGCTGAAACTTTTAGTCGCCGCATAGGCACAGCTTGCATAAGTGATCTCAAAGAGTTTAACAACTTTCTTTTGAAATGACTGTATAGTTTCAAATTGATACTCATTGTATAATTTTGTCAAACAGATGTGCGATACGATACTCGGAAAATTCAAAAATCATTGCAGATCAAGCTATTAAGCTATACTGCCGTGCTAAAGATGAACGCCGAATAAACTTTCGGGCATTGCAAAATTAGAATACCTGTTTAGCGAGAGTATGGACCGATGTGAAGCTCCAAAAATCTATCAGATCTTCACCGATGCTTCCGCGAATAAAATTATGACCCAAAAAGGCAGCCAACCTATTAATTCAAATTATTCAGAACGATTTATGATAGCATTGCTTACCACCAACAATTTTTACGACCCGTCGTGTGTATGGCACGCATTTGACTTAAGCTGATACGTAAATTTACTCATTTTGCGAAAGAATGCTCATTCATAGACATTCTTCGTCAACTTGGTTTGATATCGGAATCTGAAGATTGGCACTGACATTTTGTGTGCTAAAATGTTGGCTACCACTTTGGGCCCTAAGCCCTCCATGAGACGATCTGTACTCTACGATCCATGCACTCGCTATGTAGGTACTTTATGCCAAATATCCTCTGATATAACGCGAATTTTCTGTACACTGAAAAAAAGTTACGGACTGTATACGGTCATACGGACATACCGTCTATTCCGGGCTCAGAGGCCGAGAGTTCCGGGTGCTACGCCCGGAACACGGACGGTATATCTGTACAGCCAGTGAGTACGGCTTCCACGGCCGGAGTTTTTTTTTCATTGTGTAAATTGTGATAATTTTCTTCCAATTTTTCAGACTTTACTCACGATTTGATCTGAAAATGTTAGGGAAATCCGTTTATTCGGTTCCTAAAAATAAACATTTAATCGAGGGAATTTAGCAACGTCTAAATGTTGATACTGCGTTTTTCCTCATGCCGCAATCACACACTGAATGTGGGAGCTGAATATGGCTTGAATGTGGAAGTCATCGGCCCGATGCCTGAATTTTAACGCGCAAAATTCAGCAACGATTTTCAGCGACCATCGGATAATGCCGGACTTGTCTGAACTATTCGAATAGATTTGATACACATTTGGATGAAAATAACTCGAATTAGAGAAATTTCAGCTGTTGAGCGCTGACTGTTGACTGTCGTATTCAGCTGCCAAATTCAGCGTGTGATTACGGCATCAGCATGGCAGTATACGAGAAGTCCATGCCTCGTCCAAGGGTGCCGGATCCTTGAAATGTATCCCCGATATTTCGACTACATTCGGAGGTTAGAGTTTAGCCCCGTCCAAAGATATGTCAGCAGTAAGAAAGTGTAGTGATACATTCCTCAGCATATCTGTGATGCGCGGGAGTTGCCCGGGAACATACTTTGCCAGGAGAGCGTCGTGCTGGGGGTAGTACCAATACTCGTTGTAGATCATGTGGCCAAATTGGACCAATGCGTTTTCTAATCTCTGTAGGAGGTTCATCGGCCCCGCATAGTCGAGTTCTTTGTATGGAAGATACGCGACGGCATTTGGAGCTCCGGCAAATCTGAGGATATCAGGTCTGTATCCGAAACTGGCGTATGAGACGACCGGGGCTTTGAATATGTGGCCGAGAACGACCAATGCCTCTTGCGAGAAGAAAAGCTCCGTGAAAATTAGGTCGAATTCGCTATCGCCTCGAACTAAGTCGCTGAAAACGGCCGACTCGAGAATAGCTGGCATCTCTAAATCAGCTACCTCCTTCCAGTCCTTCACGCTGAACAACGCATGTGGTGAATCCTGTGTGAGTTCTATGATATTGCGGTTTGCTAGAAAAAATAAACATACGTATAGTGTTGAAGCTGAGCAACATTACAAATGAGTCCAGCTGATGTTGAATAAAAATACATACCCTAGGTTGACTGTTTGAGAGAAGTTGCGAGTATAGTGTGCAAAAATGAAGTGAACTTTAATGACGTGAATCTTGTAATTTTATCACATTGGGGTTTTTACAAGACTTCATGCATGATGTTGGGAATTGCTTTTAACAGTGTTTTTTATGAGGTCGAAAAGCTAATCATGTGTATCGGTATAGTTTCTAAAACCCGAATACGAATTTTGGAACGAGGTTTAGCCAACGGTTTTGCACACCGGGGCCGGATTAAGGGGGTGGCCACATGGGCCGCGGCCCATAGCGGCAAATTTAGGGGGCGGCAAATTTTGCAATTTTTTCAAATGTAGCCATAAAGAAAAATCAGATTCAGACAAAAAAATTACGAAGGAGAAAAGGTGACAAAATATCTCTCATTTCCTGAGAGTATATCTCTAATTTTGTCTTCCTTCTGTGATACAATAGACAGCACCTTTAATTAGTCGAGTTAAGACTAACAAGGGGAGGCTAGCGATTGTCCCCCTCAGATCGGGTTCAAATTTGGCAGAGAGGTAGAACAGGTTGATATAAGAACCCGTATTTTTTTTAGGTGCCAATGCCCAGCCGTTTTTGAGTTATGAATTTTTGAAGTTGCCGTTTTTTCGTGTCAGCGACGCACTCAAGTTGAGCCTACTGTGCGCGCACCTTTTAATGCAATCCGAATGTAGTGACGTTCATGCGAGACAGTTATCCAAGCGGTAGCGCGCTCGTCTATGGTGCTGCAGGCTCGGAGTTCGATACTTGTTCCGTGAATTTAATTTTTAAAATGGATTATTTTGTTTTTTAATCGCCTCATCACAAGAAATAGTAAGTCACCTTGTAGACGTTATGATTCTGATTATTTATTATGTATATTTTATTTTTTATTTTTTTTTAAATGAGTAGTTGACAAAAAATGAAAAAAACATAATTAGCATCACAACGTCTACAAGGTGACTTACAATTTCTTGTGATGAAGCGGTTAAAAAACAAAATAATCAATTTTAAAAATTAAATTCACGGAACAAGTATCAAACTCCGAGCCTGCAGCACCATAGGCGAGCGCGCTACAGCTTGGATAACTATCTCACATGAACCTACTGACATTCGGATCGCATTATAAGGTGCGCGCATAGTAGACTCAACTTGAGCGCGTCGCTGACACGAAAAAACGGCAACTTCAAAAATTCATAACTCAAAAAAGGCTGGGCATTGGCACCTAAAAAAAAATACGGGTTCATATATTAACCTATTCTACCTCTCTGCCAAATTTGAACCCGATCTGAGGGGGACAATCGGTAGCCTCCCCTTGTAAGAGAGAAACCGAACGCGGAATTTGGACTGGAACGGCGCGGCGCAGAGAGCAATGATGACGAGAACGTGAGATGAAAAGGAGAAACCCTCGGCGCGGCGGTCGGCATGTAACACATATTAGTGCCTACAAGACTGCATGAATACTTCACGCATTGCGCCAAAGACAGTGCGGTCGCTGCGGTCAGCAGCGGGCAGCGGGAAACGCATAGCGCCTACAAGACTGCATGAATACTTCACGCATTGCGGCAAACACAGTGCTTGCAGCAGCGGTCGGCCCGAAATGCATAGCGCATGTAAGACAGTAGGAATACTTCACGCATTGCGCCGAACACAGTGCGGTCAGCGCGGCGCGGCGGCGGAAGTTAAAATTATTAGACCACATTTATGTTTGTTCTTTCATAATTTGTAGGTTCATTTCTTATAAATGGAGGGCTTTGTCCATTCAGAGATAGGTTTACGAAACTTAACTTTCGCGCCAAGTTCCGTGAACTTTTGCTAGTAGTGTTGACAGGGTTTTCACAAGAAATGTGACCAACACGAGTAAACGCGTCTTATACGCCTCTCCCCCTCCGGCACGTTTACTTGATGGTTTTTATTGATGTTTCAAAATTAATGAGAAGGAGGCGGCAAAATACAGGCGGCCCAAGGGCGGCAAGTAAGTAAATCCGGCCTTGTTGTACACATTATTTAGAGTGCTATCGAGAAGTTCAGTCGGTCACCCTAAAAATGTGTGCAAAACAATTAGTTGGCTGGACCTTGTTAAAAAATTCGCATTGATTGAATCGTAGCCAATGACAAACTTTCGTCTCTAGAACTTATGTCATTCCGTTACTGCGTAGAGGTATAAGCACTTCAAAAAATTATGGGGTTTACAATTTGCCGTGATATCTGACATATTCACATACAGGGTGATCCAAAAGTCCTGTAACACCAGTTCCAGGCATTACTCCTGTAACTTGTGAACAACTTGAGGTAAATTAAATTTTTATTAAAAAATTACTTTACTCGCACTTGCTGTAAAAATTTTAGTAGCGACGCGCTTCGGAGCCTAGAACTCCATCATCTTTTTTTTTTGGCTGTTGTTTTTGTTTTAGGCTTTATATCCGGGGGATACTGCGGCCTTGGAAGCTCAATCATAATTTTTTTATCATATTTGACTTGCGACGACTCCCCCCCTCTCCCACGAAGTTTCTGTAACTTGAGATAAAGACTTGAAATTTTGTGAGTACTCCTAGGTCGAAGAAAACTACCTTTGGGGACTCCCGAAATTTTAAGGGGACCACCGTGAGATGGGACAAGAACTTTTTGGATAACCTTGTAGAGAAGAGTAGGAAGTCACCAGTATGAATCATACTTACGCATCTGTTTAAAAAATTGGTCCGCCTCTAACTGAATATGTCTATAATTTGGAATTTCCTTTTTTGGAGGAAACGGGCTGACAACAGTCATGTTGTGACCGCGAAGCGCTAGCGCATGGAAGATTGGCTCGACTTGCATGAAATGGCTCCAAAAACAAGTTGGCAAGAATACGAGGATATTATGAGCATGATAGCCTCCTTGCAAGCAGAAGCATATCACCAAAAATTCTTGAATATTCATACCTATAACAAAGATTTATCTCGGGGTTTATCCCTCTACTTTTTACAATACTGCCGTGCTATGAAAGAGCGCTGTAAGAGTCATCAGGCGTGGCCAAATTTCCTTTAAAAATCATGAATTTTCGGTAAAATTTGCGAAAAATTCTTCTCCGATTTATCAGAGGATTTCGTTCGTAATTTGATAAAAAAAAGTCTACGACATATTCAAGAAAAAATCTCCAAAACTTTCTCCGAAAATATTTATTTCCAAGGAAGAAATTTAGCAACATTCAAATACTTATACGGCGATTTTCCTTACAATTAGCATGGCAGAGTAGGACTATTTTGAGTAGTGGCTCTGCGGGCTGATTATTGAAATAGATAGACAAAGCTATAGACAAAGAAGACATAGGGGGTATGGAGCTATCCTATTGGCTGAAATGTGTGGTTCTTGTAGACAAAGGGAGAAAATGATGGACTGACTGTCGGGCTTCTCGTGGGTTGCCGTTAGTTAATCTATTACCTACTGCCTTTGTCTATTGCAACTACCAAGTTCCACCAATAGGTTTCCTCCATATCCCTTTTGTCATCTTTGTCTATAGCTTTGTGTGTCAATTTCAATAATCGGTCCGCTTGTCTCGCGCACCATACTTTACAGATAAAAACATAAACTGAATTGGACTGCGTTTAACAGAAAGGAACCAAACCACATCAACCATTGCCAAATATAACTGGGCAATTTAATTTTATACGAGAGAACGTTTGTGCGGATTCATTTGAAAATGCCAAGGACTTTGCTTCGAACTATGGAGAAAATTCACGGAAATTTGCACAAAAATCCGCACAACCGTTTTTATGTAAAAAATTAAATTACCCAATTAAATTTGACAGTAGCTGATGGGGCTTGGTTTCTTTCTGCTTGACGCGGTCCAATCCGTGACAATATAATGCTGGACTTGTACACCACCCCTTCCACTACATCACCCTTCCCTGCTGATTCTGTGCCCACTCAGCCCGCTATCCTTTCTCATACAGAGGTCTCAAACCATTTGCAGCTTTTCGACCACTTTAAGCCAATATTTTTTGCGACTTTTGCGGCACGTTATTTTGTATTTTGTGTGGTTTGGCTTAGTTCTTTTTTTCTTCTTTCATTTCTACTGTTTTTTACTTTCTCGTGTGATTCCTGTGATTTTCTTAGTGATTCGTGAAGTAGTATTTATCAAATTATTTTCTTCCTCATGGTAATGCATCATCACTTTTGACTCCCTCGACAATCCTGAACAAATTGTTCTTCGTGGATCACTTTTAATAAAATGTGTCTCTTTTTAACTATACAGTATCATCATTATTGATTTCCCAAAAAATTTCGAGAATGGATCGGCAATTTTTGTTATATTTCATCTCTTCCCATAGTTTGGAGAGTCGTTTTTGGCTTTCGATAGGATTATAGTCTAAAAGCCCACTCTATTTAGATTAAACCACGTGGGCCCCATGGGGCCCGTCGCTTCACCGTATAAATATGATGTGATACCGTACATAAGCATAATTATCACGCCAAAACAATTATGGAGCTAAATGTTGATCACAATGTTTGAGCTTTGTTTGAGGTTAACACATTTTGCACAGTTTGTGCTATCAATTCAATAAGCAGAGCAAAGGGGAATCATAAAGTAGAACAACTTAACCGCGTTTATGATGGAACCACGTATCGAAAATAGATATTACTCAGCTTACCTGAGCGACAGGGTCTCTTGCCTCTTCGATTCTTGTAATTTTATTGTTGAAAAAAAAAAAAAAAAAAACACTGTCGGAACTTTTATCAGGTGTTTGATAGCGCGCACGACTATGCTCTTAACATTATATCAAATATTATTCAACAAACAACAATAAGCCGTTTCCGATGGGAATTTTTGTTTGTTTTTCATATTAAATTTATAAGAATCGAAACTATGTAAAGAAAGAAGAAAGTAAAACTTACTATGGAAAATGGACATTTGCGAGTAAAACGATAACAAATGAAAACTTCAGTAGCTGCCGCAGAGTGTCATATCTTCTCAAGATAAATGTAGCCGTGATCTACATTCAGACTGATATAGACAAGACGATAAGTGGGCTGGTTGCGAATCAATTGCTTGCATGGCCCAACGAGACTAGGTCAACAACGTGTTGGCAGTTTCGTTTTGCAAACAAGCCGAAGTTTGGGAAACTTGTTTGGCTCATGACGTCACCCGAGGCTCATCATCGACCATGTAGGTAGGTCAACTGTCAAAGAGTGATGACTGTTGCTCCCTTGTAATTGTCCATAAGAAAGTGTTGAATCCCTACTAAATACTTCAAACAGTAAAATTATCTCGTATCGCATTATGACGCAATTACGGTACCTGATTTCATCGATTAGCTTCGAGCAACTCTTATTTCCTTCATGTTTTCACATCTCCTCCGACTATGTCACATACCTTGTTTCTCTTCTTTCGAAGCCATGCAACACCCCTATCAAAAAGGTGAAAGTTGAAACAAAGAACATACATCGCGATGTTGGAAACCCCTGCATAGTGCAATTATTCGTGCTCAGAGGATATGCGGGTTGCATCCGGCACATACTGAAGGCGGTCTGGTTTTCATGTGCTTAGGATAAAATGACCGCACCAAAAATTCATTATTACTTGATTTGCACTTAGTTTAGTGAGGTGTGGGAACAAGGCAGGTCACTCATAGGGATTATGAACCGGAAAAAAAAAAAACATGTTTGCAGTTATATTCTTTCATAGATATCAACGTCTATTTACATTTAAAATTACAATAGTGATTAATAAATGCTCTCGACTTTTAAGTTTTGTTAGTAGAGAAAATTTGCAGACAATTAGCTTGAAACATACTGTCAACTGATTTTTTCTACAATATTTGCCTTGGTTGTATTCTTACTATTTATTCACTCTATCGAACCTTGACCACAATCAAGGTTTGCACACTGTGCAAGAACATAGCTCGACTCTCTCTAAGTTCTTCGGCGGGGGGATTTATTACGGTTCTCCACATCAAACGATGAATGCACATTATTTAATGATTTTCCTTGTGAGATGGAGGAAGACGCCAGACTTGAAATCGAAGGCGTCACTTTGGCGGATCTCGAAGGCTTCCTAGAGAACCATCTTAATTTGGTGCTGGAAAAGCAACTCTTGAACCAATTGGATTTCCTCTGAGAATTGCTTCGGCTCAAGTTCGTGTCAGATCTCTGCGAGTCCAACCGGTTCAGGTTCGTGTCGGATCTCTTTGAATCCGACCGGTTCACATTCAAGTCCGCGCATGGCTTGTATCGAACTTCGAAGTCGTCAATTTTCACCCAATGCTCGCCGACCCCTTCCTCCAAAATTGAAGCAAAATCGAGCTGAAAATTAGAAACTAATGTTAATTTTAATCATGTTCAGCATCATGGCTTAATTTGAAATGGAGATGTTGCATGTGTCAAATAGCAAATCCCTCGATTTGCGATTTGACCATTGATTCTTGTGTAAAACTTCGTGAGAAACACGATGGTGCCACTGGTTTTCTCTGAAATCAACTATCAAGCTCAAAAAAAAGCTTTCAAGTTGAGGCCAATATGGAAGGGATATCCCACGCTATCCTGAGAGTCCACCTCTACATCGAAACAAACTCTCCATACAGAGATAGCGAGCAAATACATTAGCAGGATTGCCGTGTTTTCAGTTTTGGAGTCCCCAAATAAACAGGGCTGCCCCTGTCGATGAATTTGCTCCCTATCTTTGCATGGAGAGATTCTTTTGATGTAGAGGTGGACTCTCAGGGTAGGGTGGGATTCCCCTCCATTTTGACCTCACTTTGAGAGCTTTTGTTGAGCTTGGGAGATGATTTCAGAGGAAACCAGTGGCATCATCGTGTTTCTCGCGAACTTTTACATAAGAACCAACGGTCAAATCGCAAATTCCTTAGACATGCAACATCTCCATTACGTCTTGATTAGAGATACCGACATATATTCAGCGCTCAGCCAACAGGGAGCCTTTTTTATTTTAACCTGCCTCTGTAATTTCCTACACGCGATTGCATTCTCAGTGAATTTTATTCCTTCACTCAAAAATGTTGTTTGGAAACCCGTAATTTCAATTAAAATCGTTCGAAAAATGCTTGTAAATTTTTCAGCAAATCTGTACGTATCTTTTAAACAATATTGATTGAAATTAAAGCATTAATTGTGGTTTGCAACGTTGCAATCGAGGTAAATAAGCTCCTTTTCGCGTGGAACCATCGATATTTCAGTTCGTTTATGACAGGTGTGACATACAACTATTTGACCACGGGTGTCAAAAAAAGGAAAATACAACAAATATTATGTGGCGACGAAATTTCCCGTGATTTCAATTAAAATCGTTCGAAAAATGCTTGAAAATTTTTCAGCTGATCTGTGCGTTTCTATTAAAATATATTGATTGAAATAATATAGCAATAACTGCGGTTTGCAACGTTGCAATCGAAGTAAATAAGCTCCTTTTCGCGAGCAAACATCGATATTTGAGTTCGTTAACGGCAGGCGTGACATACAACTATTTGACCACGGGTGTAAGCATGTTGCAGCTCCGCCGGATTGAAGGCGCGTCAAACTGCGAAGATGTCTTCGCCGCCCTGCTGACCCTCGCTGGCGGGAGGAACGCTAAAATTGCTGCGACACGTAGACGACGCGTTATTATTAATGACTCCCTTCTAATTTTCCCCATTAAAAACCAAAATAAGTATCCTAATAGCTACGATTTAGAATCGGGGAGGGTTTTTTTTTCCGGTAAAAACAAAAAAAGGAAAATAGAACAAAATATTATGTGGCGACGAAATTTCCCGTGATTTCAGTTAAAATCGTTCGAAAAATGCTTGAAAATTTGTCAGCAAATCTGTGCGTATCTTTTAAAAAATATTGATTGAAATGAAAGCATTAACTGGGGTTTGCGACATTGCAATCGAGGTAAATAAGCTCCTTTTCGCGTGGAACCATCGATATTTGATTTCGTAGGCATGATATACAACTATTTGACCACGGGTGTAAGCATGTTGCAACTCCGCCGGATTGAAGGCGCGTCAAACTGCGAAGATGTCTTCACCGCCCAGCCGACCCTCGCTGGCGGGACGAACGATAAAATTGCTGCGACACGTAGACGACGCGTTATTATTTATGACTCCCTTCTAATTTTCCCCATTAAAAACCAAAATAACTATCCTGATAGCTACGATTTAAAATCAGGGACCGTGGTTTTTTTTTTTTTCGATAAAAACAAAAAAAGGAAAATATTACTAAAAATAATGTGGCGTTTTATAGAGATATTTTGGTTGATTTTTTTAATCTTTAAAAAAGAGGAAAACAAATATAAATAAAATAAGGCATTGCAGGCGCCTCGACACGTTGAAATTTAAATACGCAGTCTTTTACTTCAGCCATCAATAAGATACAAAAATGAGCTGTGTGCAACCGTAGATATTCGTCCCTTACCTTATTACAGATTAAAATGACTGGCTTACCAAAAATGGATTTAAAACGTTCACAGGGATCGTGACTTGAGTCCATTTAGTATCCGTTGATTTTTTAAAGAGTCGACGACGATATTCGACACCATCGGACCAAATTTCAGAGGAAGATTTCGCGCTGTAATCGAGAAATCTAGAATCCAAAGGTGACTCCAGCTCCACCTTCTTCAACTAAAGCAACAAATATAAAACAAGATATATAAATAGATAATTAAAAATAATAATGAAATCATGTCTAATTTCCAGACGCACTGCACTGATTTAGTTGCCTCGTCATTCTACCGATAGTCCAGTGCCTAACAAAAGCTCTACAAGTCTTACTATCCCTCTCAACAGCTTCATGTAAAATATTATGAATATATTGAAGAAAAGTCTAAAATCACCAGAAAAATGAGAGAATGGGAGATACTTGTTTACTGTCTACATTGAAACCAGTTGATTCAAACTTCCCCCTTCGATCTTGAAGAAACCAAAATCACAGAGGGTGAAATCGACCAATGAAAGCGCATAATGTACGTCGCTCCCACAACGCATTCTGACTTCAGTGACATCCAAATGCTGTTTATGCCTCACATATCGACACCTTCGGGCCAAAACATCACAAGCGTCATGTGACGTTTACAAATTTCCGCCGCCATTTTAATTTTTCCAGAAAAATTTTTGGTTGAATATTTTTGAAAATTTCACCGAAGTTCAATGGGCAGCACGAAGAAAATTCAGTGAAATTTTCGGACAGCTTCGTCGAACGATTTCTCTGGAAAAAAATGGCGGCAGAAATGTTTAAACGTCGCATGGCGCTTGTGATACTTTGGCCGGAAGGTGACGATATCTTCACAAAGTTATCGGGCAACAGATATCTCCTCATCGACGCCCTGCCGTTATCCCTAGAGTCCTTTTATACTGAGAGTCAAGACAACACCCCCTCATGGAGTCACTAACGGGAATAAAGATTACACAAATTGAACGTTTCTCGTAATCTTTGATCGGCCCATTCTCAAATTCCTTTCTTCGTGCCTTCTCTCATTCTGTTTTTTCCTTGCCGAACCCGTAATTCCGTGGTCCATTCCAGATTATAATCTTTGCAATCGGAGAAAATGTTTTCTTTATTCCCGTTTGTGACACTGTGAAGGCCTAAAATACGGGAACCAACCAGAAATGGATTCACATTGTCTTGACTCTCAGTATAAAGGGACTCTAGTTATCCCTTCATAGGGCATCACTGTTTCGAATCATGGCTAATTAGGTAATCACTCGGAAAGTCAATAAAAGTTTCCGCAAAAAATTAAAATTTTAAACAATTTCAAAAACTTTTAGAATTTAAAAGTTTGAAATTTCCGAGAAAATAATAAATTTTAATGTGCGTGAATAATGTTGTATTTCTCCTTCACTTCACATAGTCACTCATCATAAAAGCAAAAATAACTTAGTTACAAACTTCAAGTGTATGACGTCCCTTCCCACCAGTTTTGAACGAGTACTTGAATGTGACACATCCCTCTTGTCCGCGGATGCTATGGTTAGGGCTTGTGCCATAGAAACCGACGCTCCAGATATGATCCACGGTTGTCATTTTTTCAACAGAGTTTGCAGACCAAATTAGGCATCCTCCCTCGGGCTCTTAAAAGTAGAGAGCAATTCAAGAGTGATTGAATAACGCTACACTGAAAAAAAAAAAAAACTCCGGCCATAGGAGCCGTCCTTACGGGCTATATGAGACCTTATATGTAACAATGACGGATGTGAAAAATTACCTTTTAGAAACACGCTTAAAAAACTGTTTTGTTCACACAAAAATTTAGTATATTTGGCTCTGGCATAATGTACAGAACTCGAAGTGGCACCATCGTGTTTCGCACGAACTTTTACNTTTAAACCATATAGAGTAAGTTTTTGGATATATGTGGCCTTGATGGACCCTGAGAATTTAAGAGAGCTTTTTGCCATCTAATAGTTACTTACTTAGTTTTATCAACCTTCTTGGAGGGGTGAAAGGGAATTTTTTTGGTTAATAAGATGTAACACGTCAATTTCCTCGACCGGATTTTTTGCCCGAAAATGTTTTTGAGGGTTTTTGTAGTTTTAAAAATGAACAGTCAAATCGCAAATTTCTCACACACGCAACATCTTCATTTTTTCGGCTAAATTGTTCAGATTACCCGCTCTAACACTTTAACGACTTAACAAAACCCTCATTTATGAATCCCATTGTGCCTCAAGTTGGTCTCAACTTTCAAACTTTTCTCTCATAGAACTCTTCCAAATCAAGCCCCTGTACGACTTTATCTAACCCAAGTTCATCCACTACACGGAGAAGAAAACTTCGTGCGTGTGACCCGAAGTTGAGGTCATATGGATTTCGGAAGTTTTCGGATCACGTATCTAAAAACTTGAGGTCCAGCTGCCGAAGTTCGGGTCAGACATCTGAAGTACTTCGATTTATGTCGAAGGGTTCGAGTCACACATCTGAAGTACTCCGGTACATACCGAAGTGCCTCGATGCACCCGAACTTCGGCAGCTGGACCTCAAGTTCTTAGATACGTGATCCGAAAACTTCAGAGATCCACATTACCTCAACTTCGGGTCCCACGCACGAAGTTTTTTTCTCCGTGTAAATAGGGAGGCTCTGTTTAGAAAGTTCTGATGCTGATAAATTCAGTTTGTCTCGTTCACTTTTACCAAGATGCCATATCTGCGTAAATTTTACCTGTTTTTAATCGTCTCCGTGTCCTTTCATGCCACTTCCAATTTTTGTCATCATATTCATGGCGCGACAACCCCTTGAAACCGCAGTCGTTAAGGTCAAAGGAACAAACAACATCAAATGGGAGTCTTGGCTTTTGAAATGTTCCTAAAAGGAAAAAGAGGAAGGGTAACATTTAACACACTGATATTTAATATACGGTTTAAAGTTCGGTCGCAAATCGTCGTTCCTCCGCTCCGGCATAGGCGTATCTATTTTTCCATATGAGCCCCGAAGGGCATGGATTAGTATGAACAGCACGGCTCAAGTAAAATTTGAGATGAGCCTTCACGTCAGAGGAGCGGTCTTGTGGGCTCTCATTTGCCATGCAAATCAAATACATATACTGAAAAAAAAATCTCGGTGTATTTACTAAGAAAAGGGTAAAATTACCGAGAATTCAGGGTTCTATTTGATCCCAGTTTTTTCTTGGTAAAATTACCATTTATGGAATTGGTAATTTTACCGAGAAATCTCGGTAAAATTATTGAACTTTCTCGGTAATTTTATTGGACCTTGGTAAAAACGCCAATATTTCTTATCGACTGTGGTAGAATTACCAAGATAAAATGGCAAAGTTACTGGGAATTGATTACCAATAAAAGTGGTATTCTTACTTGAAAAAAACAGGAAAAATACCGGTTTTTAGGTAAGCTTATCAGTCCATCTTGGTAAAATTACCAATAGTTGGTAACAAAGTGAGATGGTAAAGGTACCAACGGACCTTGGTAAAAACGCCGAGAATTTTTTTTCAGTGTAATACAGAGTGTACCGCGCGGAGAGTTCGTGCTCTTAGTCTGGCAGGATTGATGCCTATACGGTGAAATCGAAGGCGAAATTCAGGTGAAAGGATCTATGAGAAGCCTCTCGCATATGCATATCATGATTGAATAAAACCACAAGCGACGTAAACGCCATATCTGATGTGCATTAGTGACGAGGCGTGAATGATCGATTATCGATATTTCTCCATTTGAAGCTATGGTGAAGAATCGATTATTAAGGTGATAGTCTATCGATCCTTTTTTATAGGTTTAAATGGCAGATTGACCGATTTATCGCAAAGCACGCCTCGCCATTGATGTAGGCGACTACTCGTGCCCTCCAGTAAGTTTTTTGCGAATCCTGGAAAATTGAAGAAAAATTTCATATAGATAGAATTGTTGGAAAATTTTAACTAAGGTATTTTGTTCATATTTCAGAAAAGCTGTAATAAATTGCCAATGAAATCTTGCAAACAACAATCAAAGAAAATATTACATAAATTATCAAGGATATTTAGTTTTCATTAGCATACACTTTTCAATGGTTGAATTAAGTTAATACGTCGTTTTTCCTTATATGGTAGATTAGAGACCTTACCCTCACACCGGTAAAGGTCGTTGATTCTTCTAAAGTCACCAAGAGACAGTTGAGAGGGCGGTTTCGTAGGAACAGCACGTTCCGTTTTCGACACCAAGGTTTTAAACTTCTTACGATCCTATACGGCCGGAAAAAAGCAAAAGAAGGAAATTAAATATGGAAGGAAGACTGCAACGTCAAAAACCGAGATACCTCGTTTGAGAGTTTTATCATCGTTATGCCTATAAGCACATCCTGGTATTCATGCCGAAATCTGAATGTGGCCTGAATACGGAAGTCATCAGCCCGATGCCTGAATTTTGCGTGTGTCGCGCAAAATTCAGCAACGATTCCCAGCGACCATCGGATAATGGCGGATTATTCTGAACTCTTCGAATATATTTGACACAAATCTGGATGATAGTAACTCGAATTTGCGAAATTTTAGCCGTTGAGCGATGACTGTTGACTTCCATATTCAGCTGCCAAATTCAGCGTGATTCTGGCATCTGTCGCTTTGATTATTAACGTTATGCACTTTTTTGAAATGCTAATAAAAATAAACAAGTTGGATTTTGCAATCGCTAGCGATAGCAATATTCGTCATGGGAACGTTAGCTTCTGGGATATGAAAATGTTAAGGTACAGTTCGTTTGTAGTATCTTCTGAATTGAAGGGGCTATGTAATTTTGTGTTGACATCTCTTTTTTAACATTTTTAATTATTTTCTTTGCATACAAGAAAGCTGTTATGTACCAATTATTTATTTTCGTTGGATTATATATGGTTTTCGGAAGTTAACGCATTTAAGTTTCAGGTTCGCTTTTTCGGCGTAAAGTATACATAAGGTGTCCCAAAAGCACCGGGACTTGTTCTGTAACTTCGAAAGTAAGATAGATACAGACATGATCTTGATTTCATTTTAAAGATCAACTCAATACCTATCGATTAAAACCAAGATCAGCTCAATCGGATAAAAATTGACCGAGTTATGGCAATTTGAAATCAGCGAGGAAAGTTTACGCCTACGGTTTTTAAGGAAGATTCTTCATCGCCGTAAATCGAAAAGTCGGCCGATAAAGTGATGCTTATTGTGTTTTTTTATTTTCGAGGTGTCATTTATCAACATTTTGTACCATCAAACACAACAGTTGACAGTGCGTATTATTGCAAAGTACTAAAGGAGTTGAGAATGCACATTTCCCGGAAACGGTCGGACTTGAAAGCTTCGTGGATACTCCATCAAGACAATGCGCGGCCTCACACATCGAGCTTAACACGTGAATTTATGAGTAAAAATGGAGTTGAAACAATCCCTCATCCCCCTTATAGCCCTGACTTGGCTCCATGTGATTTTTGGATGTTTCCTACGCTTAAAAAGGAGCTTCGCGGACGAAGATTCGTATCGAAGACCGAAATCCAGAATGCAATTCAAAACTTCTTCAACTCCATCCCAGAGGAAGAATTCAGGAAAACAATGTTGGATAAGTGGCAAGAGCGCATGAAAAAGTGCATCCGGTTTGATGGACGGTACTTTGAAAAGCAAAAGGAAGTTATGGAAGATTCGGAGGAAAGTGGATACGAATATTAACTTTTTGAATCCTGGTAAGCGAAAAATCTTCCTAAAAACCGTAGGGGTAAACTTTCCTCACTAATTTCAAATTGTCATAACTCGGTCAATTTTTATTCGATTGAGCTGATCTTGGTTTTAATCGATAGGTATTGAGTTGATCTTTAAAATGAGACCAAAATCATGTCTGTATCTATCTTACTTTTGAAGTTACAGAACCAGTCCCGGTACTTTTGGGACACCCTACGTATGATATTTTTACTCTACACATATGCCCGAATACGCATCATAAGGGACCTATGTGCTTCCTAAGTTGCCAAGTATTAATTATTGTTAGATTATTGGTCTAAAACATTCAATACAACCAGTAAAAATTAGCTGTCCCCTACGAGATTCGAACCCCCGCTCGCACAAAAAGTGACACTCTCCCAGAGGCAGAAAGGTAACGCAGCCATTTGAGCTATTTCGCTGCTCAGATATGCATGGAGAAAAAGAGAACACTTAAGTGATCTCGGACGCTGAGCGGGGCTTCACAAAAGACGTCCTTGAGATTTCAACGGTTCGGCCACTGGCGTGATAAGACACAACGGATCAACCGCATTACTCTGTGAGACATTGTTTACCTATGCTGTCATGTGTCACGAGGTTCATATCAACAGGCATTTGCGATCGCGGCAGTAAGCTCAGGCAATATTTCTGTATTCATGGATTAAATCCATCAATCGAGTTCTGATTTTGGCTCATATATCCGTAACGGGTCCTCCAGAGCAATTTTCCACCTTGTACGATGGTTATTATTTCTTTATATCTATGTTTAAAATTTGAGGTGGGATAATGGCGGCTTCTCAAGAGCAACGAGGTAGGCGATCTTTTGCACCAACGAACAGAAAACTGATGGCGAAAAATAACCAATCAGAACCTCCCAAAAAAAAGAATTTGCCTAAAAACGGAACTTCGTGGTTCTGCGCAGATTTACCAGTCAGACACGACATCTCAAGGTGGAAAAAAACTCGCTGAAAGCGAATTTTAGCAATCAACACAACTTGACGTAGAGACATGATTGGCTAAAAAATACAACGGTTTTTGATACATCGGAAAATCAACCAAAAATCGGAGACTGGGCGAAACGCTCAAGGTCGCAGAGGTATAGGGAATCCCATAGCGAAAGCAACGGAACGATTCTAATATCATGGGGAACTCCGTTCCCATGACAATAGGGTTTTACTTTCAAAAAATCTTCGTTCAACAGTTCAACTGGGCACGCACACCGAATCGTATCAAAACCTTTCATGTTAAACCCGCAATCGCCACAGGCTGTTTGTGCCAATAATGCACTGATGCCAAAGTGCCATGGCGGGGCAAAAAATAAAAATGAAATAAAATACGCGCCTGCAGTTGAAATTGGTGTCAGGAATTCTGCTGCACTAAGGAAAATACGAACATTCGAGAGTTGCCAAAGTTCCTTCGATAAAGTATCTAATTTTGAGGAAAGTTATGAATATTTTTTCGATAAATTTTTCGGGAACTTTAGGTAAAATTGCGAACAAAATTATCTGAAAAATTAGAAGAAAAATACTTACAAACTCTCCCGAAAATTCGTGATTTACCCAAGGGAATTTGGCAACGTCTAAAGGTTCATACGGCGTTCTTCCTTAGCACGGCAGAATTGCAGAAGGGTGTAAAAGCAGCGGAGCTTTGTATGTACTTGCCTCTCCTTATCGGCAGGTTTTCGTTACTTGCCGGTTTATCGATTGAAGGAGAAAGAATAAAGCGTAATCAGACTTACGACTAACGACTTACAACCGACTGATTTACTAACTGCGCGAAACGTACTTTGGAATCAGCAGTGTCATGATACATCATAATAGAGTCATAATCAAAAGGCTCTCCCAATAAATTCGTGTTTTCTCTGTTGGCTACCTCGAAATCATCGCGCGATCCCTGAAAAAAAGACGATGATCGAAATGTTGGTAAACTCTTAAATATTCAACCTCATCCCATCCCACCCATAATAGTTACCCGACCTGTGTCGTCAATTCTTCCGTTCACGATAACTATCGTTAGATTTCCGTTAGCTGATTCAAATTTTGTCCATTTTGGTCTGTTGAAGAACTGTATAGATTTTCGGTTAAATCGCATTTACCGTTTACTTATAAACGGTAATTAACGAAAGTGCCCTACTTACGCTGTTTTCCACTGAACTGTTTTATAAAAGTTCAATTCCTTGGTAACCTTTGTTTGCTATCAGCTGATGTTTTATTTCTATTTCTCGGCCAAGTCAGCAAATTTTATACTCCCTGGTATTAAATATGAACCGGGTTCATTAAAGAGGAACAAAGCCGAAAACCGAAGATTCGCCTTCAAATGGCCGGCGATGCAACATGCCTGTCGTGACGCACGAATGGTGGTATCAAAATTTCGCATTCAGAGTACATAGTGTCTTGAAGGCGCTCCTCTTTATCTTATCTTAGTGACCCTGTATAGTGATGTTAACCGCAAACGTTCACAATTTTCGAGTATTAGATTAGGCCGTGACTTTGAAAAATTAATAATGTTCAACTGGTCGTGCCGTATGTTCGAAGCTTGAAATATCACGGAGAAAAAAAAACACAGTTATTCGACGGTTACCACGGTAATGATGTTACACGGAATTCCACGGTAGTGGAACCGTGGATTTTGGTAATATTATTGATGAACATAGTGGCATAACCATGCTCATAATAGTATGTCTATGCCCGCAGTAATATAACGGTGAACACGGTCATATCACCGTGCTCATCGTTACAAGAATCAAAATCCACGGATCTACTACCGTGGAATCCCGTGTGACATTACTACCGTTGTAACGGTAGAAGAACTGTGTTTTTCTTCCTCGATGATATTGATATATGGTATGGGAAAACGTCCCAGATTTTTTGGTTTATACTTTTTCTTTCGACTTTAGTCCTATTTTAAGTAGATTTCGTACTAAGGGAACACCAATACGCACTGCTGAATATTTATCCAAAAGAGTGTGGCACCGAGAGGGGAGGGGGCAGGGCCGGATTTACCTACTTACCGCCCATGGGCCGCCTGTGTTTTTCCGCCCCTTTCTCATTCGTTAAGTGAACGTGCCGGTGGGGGAGGGGTGTATGAGACGCGTTTACTCGTGTTGGGCACATTTTTTGTGAAAGCCCTGTCAACATCAACAAAAGTTTACGGAACTTTACGCGGAAGTTAAGTGACCCCGTAAACCCATCCCTGTTTGGACAAGGCCCTCCATTTATAAGAAACGAACTTTAAGAACAAACAAATGACGTTTAATAATTTTAACTTCCGCCGCTGCGCCGACCGCACTGTGTTTGGCGCAATGCGTGAAGTATTCATGCAGTCTCGTAGGCGCTATGTGTTTCACGTCGACCGCTGGCACCGCTGCGGACCGCACTGTTTGACGCAATGCGTGAAGTATTCATGCAGTCTTGTAGGCGCTGTGCGTTTCATACCGACCGCTGCGCCGAGGTCTTCTCCTTTCCATCTCAGTTCTCGTCATCATTGCTCTCTGCGCTGCGCCGCTCCAGGTCAAATTGCGAGTTTGGTTTCTCTCTTATCTAATTAAAGGTGTTATCTCTTGTAATAAATTCTCTTGTGACAAATCCCCCACCGGGGGGTCTGGGGAGAATCTGGGAAAATTTTCAGGATTTTAACCCTGTTTTAACATCACTTTTTAACGATTTCAGTCATGGCAAATGATAAATAGCTTTCCACTATTTTCCCCCAAAAGACTTTTAAAACGGAACACCGTTTATACAAGACCAAATTGAATGTTTTGTTTTAAGTATGAGTGGGAAAAAATCCACTAACTTCCTGAGGAAAAAAATGAGAAAACTGAGAGACGCTCGAGGCATTGGCGGATCCAGCAAATTGGGAACACTCTTTTTCTCCATTTAAACCTATGCAAATGTATCGATTCTCGGAGGAGCCAGGTGCCCCGACGCGAATAGATTATTTAACATAAGTTCAAATGGAGGAAATCCGCTGTTGCCAAATTGCTGGATCCGCCCCTGGCTCGAGGCCCTTTCGTTCATCCATTTCGACATACCCATTATTCATACTCTTCCTATATAAGTGATTTAGTCCTCATGAAAAACCATTATTGACCTCGAATATTTACTGTCGAGTCTTACCGCTTCAAGGTTGTCCCAAATGACCCCGACGTAGTGATCCCGATCCGGGCGGCGGTGTTCATCCTCCAAACCTAAGACATGTCCCAACTCATGCAGGACCGTTTTTTTCTGAAACTCTCTATAGAACACAGATAAAACTTGCATGCCGCCTTTTCTCCCGAGAATTGAAACGGAGGCGCTGCCGAAGAAAAATACCGTTAACATGAAACTTGTCAAAACTTGTAAAAATTTGTAAAAGTAGAGTCCAGTGTAGCAATTTGAGCAGTATCTCAGTTTCAATAGCACAATGGGATAGGCTGGTTCGGTGATTTTTTATCATGCCGTTTTGGAAAAGTAGAGAATATGTTGAGTTCAAACTTCATGCTCAGGAATTTTCCTGCACTTTAAATTTGGACTACATAATCCCCTAAAAAACGAGTCCGTGCTTCGAGCTATCATTTAAATGCGCATCACCGAAAATGCCAGGATGGAGTCGAAAAATATTCCACTCATCACGATCACAACCCCAATTGAGCGCGCTGCAGACTATACGCTATCAGTGTCATTTCAGAGAAAAGCAATTTACGTAGATTCATTATCATTGGTTGAATTGAAAGAGATTACGTCGTTGTTGTCTTTTGGATCCAATTTGATATGATGGAGAATCCCCAAAGTGACGTCACCTCACGTGAGTCACGTAATCGGGATGTTGGAGGCGACGAGAGGGCATATTTTCGGACGTCATTTTCAGTGACGTGGCGCGCTTTGAGATATATCGATTGATACGCCACTTAAACCTATGACAAAAGATCGATAAACAGGTTGTTCGCAATGAACACTTTAATATTCGATTCTTTACCATAGCTTCAAATGGGGAAATATCGATAATCGATCATTCACGCCCCGCCACTGGTCATTTTCGCTTTCTCGGAATTGCGCGTTTGGACAGTTGTTCAAAGCACGAAGATTTTTAATTAATTAGTTTTTCGTCAGTCAGCATCGTTTGAGAAATTCTGTGAAAATGTTTGTGAGCCATTATGCCATATCTACTTTTCAAATTTGAAAAAATTGAAAATTACCGAACAAGCTTGTCAAGTACTCTTTCAGCATGTTTTGTATATGTTTTTCAGTGTCATCACATTATTTTATAAAATCCTATATAGCAGAAGTTCAAGATAAATGGTGATAAATAAACTTTATATCGTCCACTTATTGTCTACTTATTGTTATGGAACTTCTACTAAATAGCAATTTTAATCTACAAGTAAAACACTAACTTGCTATTTATAGTCATGTTTAATTTTTGAATACGAAATAGTTATTTGATTGCAATATATCGCTAGGAGATCGCTATTTTTGGCGACTATTTTTGAGTAAAATTAACACCCAATTTTAGAATTTATAGTATAGTGAAAGCTCGCTAAGTCGAATTGTGTAGGGACCGACAAAAAATTCGATTTAAGCGGAAATTCATCTTAACCGGTTCTCCATTTAATTTATGAACGTGTCTAGGGACCGAAAAAAAATTCGACTTAATCGACATTTCGTCTTAACCGTAGTTCGACTTAGCGAGCTTTTACTGTAGCTACTTAATTGCCATGTATCACTAATTCCTATTTCTGAAATCTCTGCCACGTGGGACATGGAAGAATCCGAACAAGATCTCATAACACATAAATTTAGATAGCAAGCTTTGCGGCTAAGAAGTAAATGTAACCTTCGTGAATTCAGATTTGTTAGAAAGTACCAGCACTGGTCTATCATTCTAGAGGTACAGTTTTTCGGAGAAAAATATTTGTGGGTACAAAACTTACGTTTCGAAAGTATAGTTGTTTTGAATGTACACATAGTCCAATTCCCCGCTTCGTTCCTTAAATCGGACGCAGGATCCTTGCATGATATCACGCATGGCGTCCTGCACTATTTGATACTCGTGAAGGGTCGTCCCTTGGAGTAATAAAAAATTAACCGTCAATTGCCAGAAATTATAACCTATTTTTTCCTAAGGGGTTATAAGACACTTTTGAATCAACGTTCAAAAAGTGAAGAAAATGATGATAATGAGATTTATTCGCATGTGTCGCCGTGAATATTGCTGCGAGGATGGATTCTGAAGTGAGTTTACGCGTTTAATATCTCTAAAATTTTTGATGCAGAGAAAAAACCGTACCAGCTTCAGGAAGACCATATCATTAGCTTTCTAATAAAGCTATAGTTTTTACAATTTGGTACATGCTGTGCGAAGCAATGACAGATTTTCCATAGCCATTTCATGTCTAAATGTGCCCACTTTTAGGGTATTGTATGTGCACGCTTATAATTGTGCGATTCTCGTAAAATCACACAATGGGTCAGGATGTTAATCACAGAATCGTGTTTTAAGGCTTTATTATTTTAGGCTATAGTTCATCGTTCAGATCATGACCACAGCCCACTTCATTATATTACTATTCTCTATTTTTAATGATCGATTTCCGCTTTGCCGTGACATAGAATTCATAGCAACTGTGCCAACTCTCCTTGGCAAGAAAAATTTCTCAATAAATACCTAGTGTACTTACAGATATGGTCTTCCATTTTGTAGATAACAGTTGCTCCCTTCCACAACCTCTCCTTCTTCTTCAGCATATTTTTCTTTCGCCGCAACTGTGAAACAATCCATTTGATAAATCACAGATATGTGATTTGGATTTCATTACGATTCATGAATGATTAGTAATTCTATTTGATTCCTAGATCCCTAAAAAGATCCCTAATTGTGCTCTTTGATCATGATTTGCCTCAATTAGCGTATTAATTAGCATTTCCTCTAGTAGCGTAGTCTTTCTTGAAGTTCATTCAATTACATTTTTAATCTCTCGCCTCCTAAACCAACATTATTGTAATCTAATTAGGGCCCCTTGAATTTGTTTTTTATGATTTTATTTTTTACAAAAGACGTACAGTTATCGGAGTTATTTTTAAAGAGATCTGCAATCGAAAATGAAACATGAAAGTACAGAAACTCGGTATATCAATTATACGGATCTATCTTCGATGGATCGATCTTCGATGAATCGATCAATTCGGACGGAAATTTTTCGTTTTTTCTCCAAACTTGAATTTGGGAACCTTTCGTCTTTTTTACTATAAATTTCAAATTTCTACTATTGGTTTTTTTAGTAGGCTTTACAATTAGTCCAGGCAAACAAGGAAAAGAGCCTGCAAAAATCCCGGGTAGCAATGTTTTCATCAATTCCTATGTAATTTTTGACGCTGAATCCGAATTTCAACTTTGCGCCATTAAATTCGGACCGGAAAGTTGCCAAATTTGGCAAAAATGGCCTAAAATCGGACTTTTTTCCGGATTATGGCCTGTAACTTGCCAAAAATTGATCTGACGATAAAATTAGTTATTTTCAGAAATAAAGCTCGTTAAATTTCCTATAAAAAAGTTCCTATACCTTTTTCTGCTCAAGGCAAAATCAAGCGCGCTAGCGGGCTCCGAACTTTGTAAAATGTGCGAAAATTGCGCATATTGTAATGTGTTGGGTTATCCTTATTATTTACATCAATTCATTTCACTAAGTGTAAATTTTATCATCTTCACTTAATTTGTCCAGAAATTACTCGTCGGACGATTAAAACAGGAGACATCGGGCAAAAACCGCGAAAAACACAAGTTTTGCTCATTTTTCAAAGTTCGGAGCCCGCCAGCGCGCTTGATTTTGCATTGAGCAAAAAAGTGAATAGGAATTTTTTTATAGGAAATTTAACGAGCTTTATTTCTGAAAATAACTAATTTTATCGTCAGATCAATTTTTAGCAAGTTACAGGTCATAATCCGGAAAAAAGGCCGATTTTAGGCCATTTTTGCCAAATTTGGAAACTTTCCGGTCCAAATTTAATGGTGCAAAGTTGAAATTTGGATTCAGCGTCAAAAATTACGTAGGAATCACTGAAAGTATGACTACCCGGGATTTTTGCAAAAACCGCAAAAAAACGCAATTTTCGTTCATTTTTCAAAGTTCGGTGCCCGATAGCGCGCTTAATTTTGCCTTGAGCAAAAAAGTGTATGGAACTGTTTTATGGGAAATTTAACGAACTTTTTTTTTAAAACAACCAAATTGTCGTTAGATCAATTTTGGACGATTCACAGGCCATAACCCGCAAGAAACCAAATTTTCGCTCATTTTTCAAAGTTTGGAGCTCGCCAGCGCGCTTGATTTTGCCTTGAGCAAAAAAAGGTATAGGAACTTTTTTATAGGAAATTTAACGAGCTTTATTTCTGAAAATAACTAATTTTATCGTCAGATCAATTTTTGGCAAGTTACAGGCCATAATCCGGAAAAAAGTCCGATTTTAGGCCATTTTTGCCAAATTTGGCAACTTTCCGGTCCGAATTTAATGGCGCAAAGTTGAAATTCGGATTCAGCGTCAAAAATTACATAGGAATCGATGAAAACATTGCTACCCGGGATTTTTGCAGGCTATAGCCCTTTTCATGGCTTATTTGCCTGGACTAAATAAGCATCATTACCGTTGGATCTGCACTATTGCGCACCGCCGCAAACTCGTCTTCAACTTGTAGCACTTCACCGTTTGGCAGAATGTCAGGACGCCCACCGACCTCAGCCGTAAGGGCGAAAAGGACCATCCCCACAAAAATCAACATCGAACCACTGATCATCAACAAATTGGGTACCGGACTGACGATACTGCAAAAGATGATCTCTACATCAAGGTTTTTTTCGGGCTTGTGATTACCCTTTGAAACTGTCAAGTGTCAACCTTTGGTGTTTTAGATGAAATGCTTCACTTGCGATAATGCGTTAGTTTTTGCGTATCCTCGTGGCGCCCATTCATGTGCACACTTTTTGTATAATTCAAAGAAAGGTCAAAATCAACCTGATTGTCTTTCGAGAGAGACTTTGACGCACACATTTTTTTTAAAATGTGAGTCCCGGTTCAGAGCTTCGGAGTCGCATTGTAATTTTTCCTGTCGCGGTTTTAAATAATGGCTCTATGTCGCCACTTAACGTATCGTGTATCAGTTAACGTTATAAAAAAGTGACATTTCGTCGAAGTGGGTGACGAATGATGAGGGGAATTCATTTTTCCCCGAATTTCCGGCTATTTTCTGTTCTTTATAGACCGGTTTGTCACCCCCCCCCCCCCCAAAAAAAAAAAATTCATTTGAACTTGCGCACTAAGAATTTTAGCGCCGTGATGAAGTCAAGACAAAAAGGCTTTTTTTCTCTCTTTTTTTTGCTGTTCCCTCAACAGTCATGCCTCTCATAAAAAAATTTGACACTCTGGAGGGAGGAAGGTCGGACTGTGAGATTGCTTTCAGAATCCAGATAGGGCGGCCAGGGCAGCATTACGTAACCTTAAGGTGAGTCAAGTGAACGACGAGGTAGTACAGACCAGACTCCCCTTCACATTCATCTGTGGGAGGAAAACTCGAATTTGTATCGGTCCAAATGTCGTTATTAGTGGCCCGTACTTACTTTCACTTTGCTGCAACCCCTTCCTAGCAGTTCCTAAGAGTAAAGACAGAGGGAATCCATTCCTGATTGACTCTCGTATTTAGGCCTCCACTGTATTATGACCATTGGCGGATCCAGAAACTTGGTAACACCGGATTTCCTCAATTTGAACCTATGGAAATATATCGATTCTTGGAGAGGCCAGGTGCTCCGACGAGAATCGATTATTTAGCGTAGGTTTAAATGGAGGAAATCCAGTGTTGCCAAATTGCTGGATCCGCCTCTGATTAGGACACCTCATTGGCAGCATAGAGCGAAGCATTACGATTCACTTCTCACGCCACCGCGCTTTCAATTTTGCAGACGCAACAAGGAATTTCACTAAGCACGAATAGTTGTATCTCTGCGCCGTCATAACGCTTGCCCATTTCTTTGCTCTATTTTCATATTGTGTCTTGGTTTCGTTTGTCTTTTTTTTAGAGGTGCTTCAAGGAATTCGTGAGCAATGCAGCCGAAGATATAGGACATAAAAAATCAGGCCACGTTCTTTAACTTTTCTCGCAAATGTGAGGGTTTCAGGACCAGTGGCGTGGCGTGCTTTGCGATATATCGATTGATCTACCATTTAAACCTATGGAAAAGGATCGATTATTAGGGTGTTCGCAGCGAACACCTTAATAATAGATTCTTTACCACATATTTAAATGGCAGAACAATCGATACATCGCAATTCTTGCCACGCCACTGTTCAGGACATCCCGTCAACGATTTTTTGTCCGCGCGCCTGTTTTGTCCAGAAGTTTAGGTCCACGCATAGAATGAGCAACAGTTACTTGGTCCAAACGCTATATTTTAGTCCGTATGTAAAATTACATTGACAATACTGAAATGTGAAAATCGTGAGAGAAGGGGGTGTTGTTATGGTAACTCATTTTTTCAATGAAATGTTACTTTTTTTAATTCATTTTTTGAAATCGTCATCGGTGAATAATTGGTTTTATTTCCATCCTTAAAATTTTTGATGCAAAATATACATTTTATAAACCCCCTTCTTTGAAGAGAGAATATTACCTCATTTTAAAAATATTTACATTTTTAAAACGTGGCAAATATTTATGAAACCGCTTCCAAGCAATGGCATCGGTATCATTCTCAATGGGCCGTAGCTGTGTTGAAAGGAACTATACAAAAATGAATAAAAGAGTGAAAAACCCAAGAAGCACGCACATTTTGGTTTCGATCCATTTATACAATGATCTTTTAGAATAAAATACGTCCAATGGGCCTGTTGCAAACTTTTGCAGAGCAAAAATGAGGGTTGTTCCTTACAGATTATGTCTCAAAAATCATGATGAGCGCATTGGCAAACTCTAAAATGCACTCCTAACTCCACAATCTGCGTAAGAAATTTGCTTTTTTTTAAGCTTCCCGCTTCAAAAAGGATACTACGGCACAGGTGAATATTCCGTTAGGAGTCGTTCCATTCAATCCCTACGCAACATGGCCGACGCTTCCGCGCGCAAGTTGGAGCACAAAGTCAATCAAGGTGGATATCTATCAACGCGAGAAAAATGTATACACACCGATTGATATCAAATGGTACTACCAAAATTCTGAAACTCTTTACCTCTCTTAATTTAAAAATCTAAATTTTTGTATATACTCCCATTTTCAAAATTCTTTGTAAAGACGTTAATAGCCTGTGACGCTGAATGTCTTAAAAAATACTAACTAACTAATTGTTAAGGAGAGATTTCCCCCCTTTTCCCCCCGTTTCTGCGTCCACTCATTTTTCGGCACTCACGCTCCATTTAGTGCCCCCTCCCGCTCCCCATGGCCCCTCTGGTCCCGGGGCCGGGCCCGATCTGTACTTATGATTCACTTGCCTCCCCTTGCCCCACCGCACTTTCGCCCTCCTCCATGCTCTCTCTCGCACATTTTGTATCAATGCTTCACCAATAGATTTCGCTGTCTGGTCTTTCGGTTCGCGTTCCTCCACAGTTTTTCGTGTTTTGCATTTGATGGGGTCCGCGACCGGAGCCAGTAGCCCTCGAGTCTGACACCCAGCTCCTCGTTTAGTAAGGCTTGGCTCCTCTCCTGCGACGTATGAGCGCGGACGGACCAAGTCCCTATTCGATTTCCACCTTGCTTCCTTCCATTCACCTCTCACCTTGCCAAGTCGCCGCCTCCGACACCGATTTGTGCTTGCACACTTCAAGCTAGGAATGGCATTGGCTCCCTGATCATCCCCCCGGTCGCCGCCTCCGACACCGGTTTGTGCTTTGCACATTCCAAGCTAGGAATGGCACGGGATTGTCCATCCACCATCCTTGTGCAAGGTTAAATTTTTGGAAGGGAGCCTGGTTTCCGGCTCCCACCCCCCTTATTGTCGCCCTCCACTCGCCCATTAGTTTGCTATAGCCCCGCCCGCCATTTTTGTATTTGTAGTTAAGTTCTGTTTGTCGTTTTGATTTTGTAAGTTTCAATAAATGCACCCCTTTTGAGAGCTTCCGATGATAGATTTCACGCGTCATTAGAGGTTCATCTCTTTCGTGGTCTGAGGAAGCTCCAAAAAGCCCATAAGGCGTTTGGTGCATCCCCCTCCCCCAAGTTAGCCCCCCTCTCTCTTTTCCTCCATTTTGGAGGTGGTCCCTCGGTCCCCCCCCCTATTTTCACCATATTGGCTGAGCCCCTTGGGATCCCCCCATTCAACCACCGTGACTGAGCCCCTCCCCCCCCTCTCAGTCTCGTTCACTAATTTAGAATCATCGTCTCGTCACATGTATTCTGACGGATTGGCGTCGGCTATGTTGAATATTGCGTATAGTGTCCTTTTGAGAAGGGGTTGGATGGAATGACTCCTCTATAACGAAATGTTCACCTGTGCTGTGGTATCGTTTTTGAAGCGGGAAGCTCGAAAAAATGCGAATTTCTTATGCAAATTGTGAATCAAGGAGTGCATTTCAGACTTTGCCGATGCGCTCATCGTGTTTTTTGAGACACTTTATATGAGTAACAACTCTTATTTTTGCTCTAGCAAAATTTTTCAACAGGCCCATTTTGAGCGTTTGATTGCGCGTACACAACGTTGCAGCACAGTAAAAGCACAAAATATGTAAAAAAATGCAATTAAATTGCACTTTGAAACGGTAAAAGCGCTAAAAATGCTTTGGAAACCATTAAATTTGACACGGAACCACCATAATATTCACAAAAAACACGTTCATATTTTGTTTCTTTCATCACTTTAAATGAGCAAAATTCGTGCAGAGTGTGCAAACATTTCAAAATCATGAGTTGAAAAATGCTGTCTCGAGTTTAAAACTTTAAATACCTATTAAAACCTAACGCAGAGCGGAACTGTGGGCCGGCGTGCTGCCGGCGGCGCACAGGCACCTACAAACCCACAGGGATACTTCACGCATTGCGCAATGCTTGAAGTATCTACTTAGGTTTGTAGGCGCCAATGCGCGTCGCGCGCTGGCCGCCCATCTGCCGCGCCGCATCGTGCCACGGCGCGGCGCCTCTAGCAATTTTTTCACGACAGAGATGTTAAACAGTATATCATAGGAAATTGAAGGCACTCCACATATTAAGATTGACAAGCATCTTTCAGAGTACGGAGTTTTCCTCGCAAAATAAATCAAGATACTACGGCACAAAAATTGAGCGGTAGTCCAATAACTAACTAAGTCTAACTAAGCGCATTTCGTAATGATCTCCTTGGTGAACTAGAAGGAGAAGACAGATATGATCTCGAGGGCATCCTTTTTGCGGATCTCGAAGGCTTCCAGGAGGGCCATTTCCATTTAGTAGAGGAGAAGCAAGTCTTGAACCAACTGGTTTTCTTCTGAGAAATTCTTCGGTTCTGAGTCGTGTCGGATTTCTTTGAATCCGCCTGGTTCAGGTCCTGGTTCGCGCATGGCTTGTATCTAACTTCGAAGTCGTCAATTTTCACCCAATGCTCGCCGACTCCTTCCTCCAAAATTGAGGCAAAATCCAGCTGAAATTTACAAACCAACACTGAAAAAAAAGGATTGCTAATTCACCAATTTAGGGTGGAGCGAAATTTGCTTCACTTCGTAAAGCTTTCTTATCCGTGCACGGTGTTGAATCAAGTGAACGACTTGCACGAATTGCTACACCGATTTGCTACATCTGCGCGCCT